CTTTATTTATCTTATTGCTTAGGTACATAATATTTTAAAATATATGTTATAAAACCAGTCATCCATAGAGAAACTGGAAAAGACGAAAGAAAAGGAAGTTTTGTTTGTTTGAGTTGGCTGCTCTTTAACTTACATATTGGCGGGGAACAAATTTACTTTTACCAAAAGTTTTTTTTTTTTTTTATTGCAACCGGTAATATTATTTGTCTCAAATTCGGCATTTGATATTTTGATATTTGTGTTTGAACTTTTGAAGCAATTGAATTACTCTTTGTTAATGAACTACTGGAAGTCATATCTTGGATTGGAAGTGATATAACATCAGTTGATAATCGTTTGCTGTACTGATGTAGGTGAGATGATGGATGTATAAACGGCTTTGAGGCATTAATACTGTCATTAGGGTCACCAAAACAATCGTATAACATTTTTTTTTGTTCTTTTAAATAGTTTTTAGAAAATTCATCAGCTGTTTCAGGAACAACCAGTTCTTCGTTGTAAAACATACGAAAGTTTTCCATCAGGTACAGAAGCATGTCTGTATCATTTCCTATTTTAGAATACAATTCTCTCTGTGATTTATTAGAAGAAGTTTTAAAAAAATATTGTATTGCAGAAAAAATTTCTTTAAAATATTCTTGAACTTTGTCAAGTTCATTATCGCCATGTGAATCATCAACATCAATTATATCTTTTGGCATAGTAATCATATCTGATACTTTTTTGCAATAAATCTCCTGGTTATCAAAATAATTTTCAATATTTTTTTTGTTTATAACTTTATTATTGAGTTTAATGAAACAATAGTATTTTTTATCATTGCCATTTGATCCAATGTCAATATTAGTTACAGTATATTTTATCCATCTATCCAAATTCACAATATTGAGTTCTTTACCATTCAATACTTCATTATCTGGTCTTTTAGAACTGCAAACAGTTTTGAAAGTAGATAATTTTTTAGAACAATTTTCTTTTTCATTATCAATTATAACTATACAAATGGATGCCTCATTGCTGGAAGGTTGAACTACCTTATTAAATAAAATCTTATTTTGTTTATTTTTATTCTTACCCTCTAGTACAATCATGACTCTTTCATCATCCAAAAATATTGTATAATCTAATCCTTTTATAACATTAACTTTGTAGGTTGTTAGATTTGTATTATTGGATACCTCATCAGTATCGTATACAATTATACAAGAGAATCCTTCGTCACCTGAAGGTTCAATTTCATCTTTATATACACAATGGTACATTTTATTTCCCTTCTTATGAGACTTAGGTTCAAAGACTTTAACATCATTCAATAGTACTTCGCGATCTGATTTTATATCAATAACTTTGAAGGTAGTTAATTTTTTGTCATTAATTATCTTTTCAGAATCGGACACAGAAATTATACATTGCGATTCCTCACAATTATCTGATTCTGCTTCAGCACCCGATCGAATTTTACGTTCAGGCACATTTTTACTATTTGAGTCTTCTAAAGTATCTAATAGGTGTGTAAGTTTTAATATTTTATTACCGTCAGAATCGGAATTGTTATTATTCTTTATAATTACAAAATCATTTTCAAATTCACATGGTGGTAAACAACTAAATTCACTGTCAGTTTCAGAAAACTCTTCAGAATCCAATAAAATATTAAAATTAGAAGCTCTAATTTCAGAATCTGATAAACTTCCATGTTCTGATAAAGTTATAGTTTCTGGTAAACTATTAGAATCAGATACATTATTATCCAACAGAACATTTTTCACCCCTTTTCTAGAATATTTTTCCTTATTGTAAGAATATGGAATTTTTTTTAATAAATGTAACTGCGGTGGACTTGCACAACTTGGGTTCAAACTGTTAACTGTTTCTACATGAATAGATGGCACATTAGTATTCAATTCAATATCTTTTAGTAAATTACTACTTTGAAGCTTTAAAGATTCTTCATCCACACCACCTGACAGATCTTTAACACCAATTAAATCAGAATTTATACTTGGATGAGCAATATTTTTATTTCCACAGGATTTGTGAGTATTATTTTCATACGAACTGTATTTTTCATTAGGTCTTGGTTTCTTCACAATTTTATTGGAAATTGTATCGCATATAACATTCTTTTGTTTTCTCCTTATTGAAACAGGATTAACTAGAACATTAGGTGGTTCTATTGCTGTGATACACGAATACATACTATTGTCAGTCTCATTTAAATTAACAGTTTTATGAATTGTATTTATTTCATTTAAACATTGATTAATTTCTTTTAGATCTGGGACAACAGTACATATAATATTATTAGAATTTAACTTGCTTTGATTATTTTTTATTTCATTGTGCTCACTAACAACTTGACGGGAATCAATAATCTCTGGCTTGTTTTTAACAATTTCTACATTGTTAACTTTACATCGAATTTGTAGTGAACTATCATTGGAAATTCCTGGATATTGATTAATCTCTTCATATTTTGATATTTTGATATCATAATTTTTCAATTGATGATCACTGTGCAATTGCAACAAATTGCTGGCATAATTTTGCTCGGATAATATGTTTTCAGGTATATCATCAACATTTTCATTTAATGAGTTTGTCATTTGAATACCACTTGTGTTAGGTGTCGAGTCTGTGAATAAATTATTGAATTGATCTGTAGGTTTATTAGTCGTAAATGTTTTAGAATGTTCTTCTTCAAGTTGTACAAAATCAAGTCCTTCATCTTGTGGTTCTAATTTAGGTGAAACTAATTTTTTTTCACCTACATTTAATAACACAGTGCTTGTCATTGATTCTGTATCATGTTCATCATAGTCAACTTCATAACGATAAGTTGCAGTTATCAAAGGATCAGTAAACTTAACTTTTGTTGAACAAACGGATTCTTTATTTTCTTCAATCTTAGCAACAACAATAGGTGTCGCATATGTTGATCCTTGACATATATCGAACAAGTTATGCTGTGATTCTCCATATAATTTTAAACGAATTGCATTGCTGAAATTTAGCTAAGTTTAATATAATAATAAATGTGAATATATTTCTATAAAATAAGTCTTACTTGATAGTGATATTTTTCCGCAAATGTGGCAAGTTGTTAGTCGGGAAACCAGGATTTAATTTAGAAATGTGTCCTCTACAAGTCATACATATGAACATACCGCTTTGCAGTATTAAAGGAAGATTATTTTCAATCAATACCCAATTCCATGTTTCGTACATTGACCAGTCAGTAGTGTTAAATGGTTCATTTAGTTTGCAACTACAGATTTGACATGATGACATAACAGTGATCTAAATAAAAAACAATTATATTAAAATATGTTCAAGAACAATATTTAGTAAGTAGTCAGTAATATATTTTAAGAATATTTACCATGGCATTATGATCTTCACAAAGACGAAAAGGAAATAAGTCTGAAGTTTCTTTTGTGGATTTAAAGAAAACTAACTAAAATACAAATAAATAATTATTTAAGTATTTTTAATTTATTGTACAAAACATTAATATTATTTACTTACAGAGCAAGATTCAAACGTTGATAATATTTTTTTAATATTTTCATACTCATTCACAGACATTTTATGACTATAATTTTCAGAGCAGAAATGTATTGAGCATGATTTTTCATTTTTTGATCTTTTTTTCCTCCCATAATAACATTCCAACAATCTAGTCTTTTTTTCAGAAAATAATTCTTCATTTAATATTGAATCCTTATTTTTTACCAAGGATTCCCAACAAAATTGACAAAGGCATGAATCAATCGATAATGATGGCTTAACTAAAATCATTCAATCATCAAATATTTAAAAATATAAATGTATAAACATAATATGTCCTAGGTATAAAAAATAAAACTAGTGAGACAATTATTAAAAAAATATTATTTAGTTGGTTTGGAATACTAGAGGAAGTTGTGTGTGGCAATAATCTATGTAGAAGCAGAGGGTTCAAAACCTTTGCTAAGGAATGACATTTAGCTAAAAGTGAGAGTTAATATTTATCTTAATTTTAACTTAATTATAAAAACGCCTATGTAGCAGGTGTACCTTGGTCTCTAGCAAAGATACTTCAAAGGAAACTGTTAAGATCAACAACTAATAGAAAAAAAATTTTATTTTCAAATGTGGTAGACTTCTGTAGAAAATAAAATACAAAAATATAAAATTTTTTGAAATTTTAAAAATTGTTTAACCCATTAACCATATTTAGTTATATCTGTGAATTGTGACACATCACACATGCACGTTGAATGGGACTATACGTCTTTACTATTATAGGTACCTATATGGCTATAAAACATTTATAACATAAATATAACCTACTAAAATTATCGGTATAAAATATAAATATAATTCAAAAATAAACATAATTCTATCATAAATAATAAGGAAAATGTAGCACAAAATGACACAGCCATTTCATGTGCTAGGAAAAACTAATTTTAGATCAAAACTTGTAAAATAAGATGATACATACAATTATATATAATTAAATTGAAAGATTCTAAAAGCTTACTTTTTAAAAACTCATTTTGCTTGTCAATACTTGTTATCCAACTAATATATACAGGAACGTCAAATGAATTAAAAACCGTATTACACAAAAAGCAATGTTGGCAAGTATATGATTTTGGTGATGTTCGCCTGAAAATATTAAAACAGCATACTATATTAGGAACGGATTATTAGAACCATAGTTATTTTGGAAATGTAATCTGTACCTGCCAACACATAAATTATAAGCTAACAATTAAATTTAAAGGTACTCACATTATTGGCAAAGCAGTCGACGGAGAAATTCTATGCATAGCAACAATTTTTCCTAAATAAAAATATAAACACTCGTGTATAAACTACCATAACAAATAATATGTCTGATTAACATTAATAAAATAAAATATTAAACAGCAAAATAGGGGCATTCAACTCCCCTCCCTTCCCACGAGGGCCGACTCTTTTTTTTTTTACTGTTTAACGGAAGCTGTAATTATAAGTTAAATTCCATTGTTATGAGTATTATGAGTTATGACTAAGATGTACTTGCCTATCATACGTTTCCACCCAATATGGTTCCCAATTTTGTAACTCCTACAGAAACATTTTCTAACTTAAATAGGTACCATGTTCTGTGTTATAATCATAGATAATAAAGAAAAATTCATTGTGTATAGTTGTAATCAAAATCAATAAACAATATTCTGTGATGATAGTTTATTTTTATTATACTCAAATCTGCAGAAGAAACTAACCCAATGGGTGTTGAAAAAAGGTGATATCATTGATGACAATTCAGAATTGAAATCTAAAATAATTGTACATATTACAATGATAGTACAAATGTCAACTGTCCACTGTTGTCAAGTTCATATTCTAACACAAACGAATCATCAAAATTGCCACTTAATAATGAGCAGATAGACACTAATTTAACAACAACTCATTCAAAAGTAACATATATTAGCTCTGTAGTCCAAAATAAATTAATAGATTGTTGTAAACAAATAATCACTCAACAAATTTCTAAAGGTAAAAGAATCAAAATACTACAGTATTTTATTTGACAAAACTACTGATATGAGTTGTTTCTCAAATGTGCCTTATTTTGGGAGACATTAAAAATGGTATAATTAAAAATTTTTTATTGCATTTATTGATTTTCATTTTTCACACATATGTGTAAGGTCACTTAAAACAGTTGAATCTTATAAAGATAACATCCAAGGTTTTACTACCGCTAATAAAGTCTCAGAACCAAAATTAACTGGTGAAATTTTGAGCAAACTGTTGTAAGATGTTGAAAGAATTTGCTTCAAACCCTAAATACTGTGTTAGAGTGGGTACAGATGGATGTTCTGTAATGGTATTTTCTATCAGGTGATAGTGTTCTGTATAATATTATTACTTTTCAAACATTTAATAAATTTTGTATACGTTGCTATATCATATTTGATTGTAGTTATCTATGAACGCAGATCATAAGTTTCTAGGTCCTGTAAAATATAACTTAGAAAACTTTATTTTTATTGATGCAACAACCCGGTTCACAAGATCAGTTTGTGTAGTGGGAATAGCTAACTTACTACTCTTTAAATGGATAGAATTAGGTATAAATATCAACAGCCACTTTAAATAAACGAGGTAGGTGTTGCAATACTATTGGTGGAAAATGTATTAGAAGATTTTAAGTCACGGTTTTTAAGTAAACAAAACCAATGATGTAAATGATAAAAAGATTGACACAATAGTAGCAACAATAAAAACAGGCTATAAATTTGATGATGACTTATTGAAACTATTAGACGAATCCCAATTGAAATCAGAAATGCAATTGTGGAAAAAATAAAAATGAAGGTAATCATATATTAATAATTTACTAAGTATCAAATAATTATATTATTATGCAATGATGATATGCTTTGATTGTGTTTCAGATGGAGATATAATAAATCATACATTGACAGCTATTGACCAATATAATGGTATACTGTACCCAAATATTAAAAAAATTGTATACATAATTGCTTGCTTGCCAGTTACCGTTGCTTCTGCTGAGTGTAGTTTTTTAACTGATCATACTTATTCCACTAATTAATAGCAAAACTTAAAAGATTATCGAAAAAATAATCAAGTTATGTTTATGACCACATATCATTGATAATTTTTAATTAATAATTCATAATACATAATTATTTAATAATTCATTCATAATTCTTTTATTTGCTATAACTGACCAATTTTACACTTGCTCTGCACTGACTTGCTTATGCATTAAATTTTATTATTTTTTTATGTTTCGCTTTTTCAACTTGGGTTAAAAACTTGGTTGCGATCGAGTATGAGGCAAGATTGCTTAGTTGGATTGGCTTTGCTAAATACTCATAGGCACGTTCAAATAGATGAGGTGATTGGTATGCAATTATTTTATGATTACATGTGACTATATATTAAAATTAGAAATTTTGAGCAATAGATAAGGTGCTTTTTATTGTGTTGAATATTTTTTGAATTATAACTGAATAAGTTTGGACCAGTGTCTAAAACCCCAATAAAAAAAAAAAACAACCATGGCATTCAAATTTTATTATAATGTCACAGTGAGAGATTTTTGTATTTTGCCCCTCCCCCTCCCTAAGACAAATTATCCAATCTTTGTGTACAACGTTACGAACATTAAAATTTAAAAAAATCAAACCTAACTATATGAGTATACCTATTTTTCGTCGATTGGGATTCAATAGCAAACAACAAACACATTTATGATCCTAAAAATAGGCGTGTAATCAAAAAGGAAAAATACGTTTTATGATCCAAATTTGCAAATATTTTGGTCACATTCAAAACCTGTTTTAAAATACCAAAGTGTATGAAGGGTAATGAAAGACACATTTCTCTAAATGACTTTAATTCTAAGAAACCAAAGGTAAAATATGGAAACTATGGTGAAGCACATGCCATAAATTGTAAAGGGCACTCCGCTTATTCGTGGCTTCTGCTTCGAAAGAAAAAGGATCCACAGACTCAACCAATACACAATAGAAAAAATAATGTATCGTCGATGTGTGACGTGATGTTGGCATTAACAAAATAAAATAAAATTAGACAGGCTTAGTAAAACCAGACAAAAACCAAAACGAAGAAGAAATGAATTACTCTTCGAATGAAATGCTAACGTATGTACAAAACCTAACATCTTATGAATGATGAACAAATGGACATAGCTTTAGTTTCAGAAACCCACCCAACACCACAGACTGTTCTGAATGACGTAGCTATCAAATATATACAAGAGAACATCCAAGAAACCTCGCTCATGGAGGAACTGCGGTAATAATAAAGTAGTTAATTAAGCCCTACGAACTTGATAAACAGCCTCAATAACATTTACATAAGGAACCATGACCATATTATTGAAGCCATCAACAACCTTACTATCTCTGTTATGTATTATCCAAGACACAAAGTAGATTCTTCCCAGACACAGAGTATTGCTGGAGCAATTATAATATCAAGTACACTGTGGATCAAGATTGATCACCACCGAATGGCGTGAATTGTATATATTTGCAAACATAAATGAAGAACAGATCATTTTAACTAGAAAACCTACCTACTGGCTGAATAGCCTAAATAAATTACCCGATCTTATAGACTTCCACGTAAGGAAACTTCACAGGAACTTCATACAATTATACATAAAGTTAAAATACTAGTAGAGCTAAGTGACTTTCACATCCCTGTGCTTCTCTTACTAAACTCCAATAAACAATAGTAATCGTGAAACTAAAGACAATGTTGACAGCTTAATACACGAACAAATAAAACATTTCACTCCGTTAAGAGTTTCTGAATGAATAAATAACTTAAACCCATCAGCTGAATACCTTGGAGTGTATCTCGACTATCGTCTAAGCTGGAAACTTAGGAAACGCCGTTCGTTAGGAAAAATTCGAAAACTGTATTGGTTAGTCGGGCCTCACCTCGATTAACCACCGAAAACAAAGTCTACAATTAAATGTAGCCATAATAAAACCAATTTGGACGTTCGAAAGAAATACGATTCACCGTGATATGATGATGCTTACACCAACAAACGAAATCCAAAGGTTTGCTTTGTAAACACGAGACAAGGTTAGATCACCATGTCAATTAATTTGTCATCCAATTATTATCTAGCTGATTTTATAAAATTATTGTGTAACCTACTGATGAATATAGAAACATAAATTACTTATAGTAATAACTATAAATTAACTAAAAAATATCCTTAGAAATAAAGGCTGATAGATAATTCGATATTATCACCTATGATTTGTTTGATATAAGGAATGGCTGTTAAATTTAATATATTATTATTCTTTACAATACTCATTGATGAGGTTCACTCAGAACCCACTATACAGCAGAAAGACTTCCCCGGTTTTTACTTTAAAAAAGAAAAAGAATTGTTAAGTTCACCAAATTAAGTTTTTTTTACACATATTATATGTATTGTTAGAAAACACAATTTTAATAGATTATGTTGTTTATGTTAATATAGATGTAGGGATGGTCTTGAGGGCGGGCCTGGGTGTCTTCAAAGTTTTGATATTAGAATCAAAAATGTTTTTTTAATATTTTGAGTAAATACAATAATGTATAGCAAAAATTAAAAGTTATCTTGAGAAAATCCATAGCCGTAACAGCCTAACAAAAATACATAGTCGAATTAATTATGCGGGTACTCCACCTTCAAGAGCACTACATTTGAAAATATACTTAACACTTTTGTCTTCTTGGAAATCATGTTAGATTGTATACATGGACATATAAAACAACTAGTTAGCCGACTACAGGCTAATAATGAAGTTGGCAGCCATATGCCAACAGGACAAAATTGCATGATTGATAATATACATATATTCATAATATATATGCCATATACATATGTATAGGTATATTATCTATTGAGTTATTTTGTTAACATTGTTAATCCTGTTAGCATATGGCAGCACAACTTCAACGTTCCTGCAGGAATGTAATATGCAGGCCACTATCTAGTTGTTTTATATGTCTATGATTGTATTAGACCCGAATAAACAAAAATAACTGGGTTCTATTAAGATGATGGCAAGATTATGATAATGGTACCAAAAAACATTCTGGTATTCAAAATAGAAAACAGAAATTTCAAAAAGAATGTGATTTGAAAAAAAAATGCAAAACAAAATTTTGCATTTTGGAGTTGGTCTGTAAAGCTGTTTTGACCAAACCCTGGTAGGTAATTTTCTAGAGCTTATACTAAAGCTAGTTTATAGACAGTGTAAGACCAATTTGATACCAAATAAAAGGGATTTATAATGCGTTAATACTAATTTCAGGAACTACTCAGGGAGATATTGAAACACGTCATGAAGCAGGATGTCCAGCCAATAAACTAACATATAATAAATTTTTGATTTCAATTGTAGTGTGGTACGACATATTATTCCAAATAAATATTGTAAGTAAATCTTTGCAGAATATATAAGAGCCATAGTTACTGCTACTTCACTCATGAAGTCATGTGTAAAAAATATTCCTAAATTCTGTATATCAGGTTATATTGATGCACTTATGAAAGCAAACGAGTTAACAGGCATTCTTGGAAATGCAAAAAAGTTCAATGATTTATCTCGATTGAGAAAAAGAAAATGACAGTTTAATTATGAAAGCCACCACGAAGAGCAAAGTTATCCCAAAAAAATATTCAAACAAGAATTTTTCTTGAACTGTTTGAGAACAGATCTGGTTCATTGAAGACCATTTTGAACAAATGGAGGAATCTCACAAGTGATTTTCATATTAATTTGATAAGTTACCAGAAAAGACAGAACTTTTTACTTACTGCATGGATCTTCATCTAACATTGTCAGAAGGCCAGCAATCAGATCTTAATGGCATAGACCTCACAAATGAATTAATACATCTTTGAAAAATTGTATTAGTAGAATATAAGGCGCCAAAAGAGGTCTTACAGTATACACTGGATACTGACACAAAAGAATTTTTTTTAGATGTGTAGATCGCACTCAGGATTCTTTTGACAATACCTGTTACAGTTGCATCTAGATAACGTAGTTTTTCGAAACTTAAGCTAATTAAGACATATGTAAGGTCAGCTATGGGTGATGAATGATTGTCATCACTTGTAATCTTATCTATTGAAAATTATATGGCGGAAAATCTCGATTGGACAACATTGATAAATGAATTTGCAGAGATTAAAGCATGAAGAGTTCCACAAAAAGTATGAAGAATATTTAAATATAAACATACCTACCTATTATAAATAAACTTATTATTATTATAAAAATGACTTTACTTTAAATTTATTTCAGCCATAAAAATTAATCAAAATAATAATTGCCTAAGACCTTGCATAAGTGGAACTACAAAATGAGAAATGTTAAGAGCAATTTTTTTTTTATGAATAAGTGATGGAGACAACAAAAAATGTTTTCTTAATTGCCAAATGGCTGGAGTGGGTAGGACAAGTGCGGCTGACATAATACATAAAGGTTATGATGGAAAAGGACCACATAGATGCATCAACAACAATGATTGGATAGGGTAAAGCAGGACAGTTATTAATGAGTTGGAAAAATTGGAGGACTCTCTAAGGTCTTAACAGGGATAGTGGGAAGTTTAGTGGAAGGTGCTAAGAGACTTAAATGCTTATAAAAGAAAAGAAAACTGTCATAATTTGTTAATAACACTCACCATCATCTAATAATGTATCTGTAAGTTCCTATGGAAAAAAAGAGCAATTATTTAGTATATAGTGTTAAAAATTGTATAAGAAAAATGCACAAGATATAGGTATCAGGTATGTACCACAAATATAATTAAATAAACTAATGTTATATATTTAAAGCCAATAAAATATATTAAGGCAGTTACCCGTGAATTTGATTCTGAAACATTGACATAGTTTTCATAAGATGTAGAGGTTAATTCACACATTTCATGTTGTTGTATTTTATCTTTAACATTAGACTTATAAGCAAAATCTTCTGAATTACTTGATTCATCAATGAAAATTGAACCATTGTCTATTTTAATATTAGTAGAAACAAATTCAAAACTTTTTTCACTGATATCAAAGCTCATTGTTGTATGCTAATTAATATGATCTATTTTTTGTTATTGTTCCTTTTAGTTTTGTCTTTAAAAAAGATTTAAATTACTTGATAGAGGTAATTAATCTGAAAACAAACATATACTCATTAAAATTATATTAAAAGATTATTTGGCACAAATATAAAGTTATAATTAATACAACACATATTTAAATTGGTCTACTTGGAAACATATTAATATGTATGTCATAACATCATAGTAGCCCTTATTAATAATTATGATGGGATTCTCACTTTTTAAGGAAAAATGACAAAAATATTTTGAACAAATTAAAAGAAAATATTATAATTTATAAAATAATAAAATATTTTATTTTCCATTTTAATAAGATATTAAAAAAATCCAAGACAGGCAACTTTGTACCATATTAATCTGAACAAAACAAAGTTTTTCAATATTGTAGGCTGTCTAGGTACAAAATAAAATGTCTATTGAATATACATGCGTATACCCAAATCCGGGCAAGCTAACTAATTGTTTTAACTCGTTGAGTTGACTATTTAAATTAAATATCCCTTCTTAATTACCCTAAACATCATGTCAAGTAAGTGCCACTAATGGCATCCCATTCAAACAATCCATGTTTTAACTCTTATCCTATATGCTTATTGTACAAAATATATAGATTGTGTATTATAAAACATAATTTTAACATTTTTTTTTGTATTTTTAATATTTTTTCAAATTCAATAGTACACATACAAATTTATAATGACACTGAAAAATGATCCTGGCGTACAAATAATAAATATTCTTGAGGCCGCCGGCGGCCGCATGGCAGTCAACGTGTTGAGTGCCTCCAATGGGAGGGGGGCAGCTTCGTATCTCCTGCCACTCAAAGCTATGTCACCTCCATCACATACGCTTATTGTAAAATAATATTTACAGATTGTGTATTTTAATAATAAATGATAGAAAAAAAAATTTAAAGCTGAAAGTTACTTTTCTTTTTTTCATATAAAATGAATAATAAAACCTTTTTTAAAGCTAATAAATAACATAGCGATTTAATAGAGGTTTTACAGTTATGAATAAATGTATGTATTCACAAAATTAATTTCTATAAGTACTTGTATACTTAAATACTTCAATCAATAACAAAATCAAACAAAATAACTCAATTATTAGTTTATCTAACAACTATGTATACTAAATTAGTGATAGCCAAATTCATTATTAGAATATAATTAATTACTTGCATATATAATCATATATAATATCAAATATTATTACATGAATGAATAAAAATTTAATAGTAACTCAAGAGTATATGGGATACTGAGTAAATAGTTGTATTTTTCTTTTTCTTGATAGGTTAACCCTATAACTTCTCTATTTATAATATATTATGAAGTACTTATATTCTAGGAATATGCAATATTATAACCATATTAATATATTATATAATTTACTTATAGTATTCATTATACTTTTTCATCTTTACAAATTATTTATTTTGATAGATAAATAGTAATAACATACATTTTCAAATCATCTAAAATATGTACTATAACTTTCTGGACATGATATAATTTTCAAGATATTTTAAACCAAATGTTTTAGGTTTGTTTAATACAAATGTTAAGAGGAGGCTACACAGACATTTGTAACCTCTGTCTTATAATTGTGTACCTAACATGGCAAGTTTACAGTCAGCAGATCACGATTAGCTCCATTAGTTTAAACATTTGAGTGAATCGATCTATCATGAAACGTAATGGTGAGAATATTATCTGTGTATGTATTTGTGTTTTTTTATGGGGATTTAGTTTTTAGATTTGTTATGAGCATTTTTAATTGATCCCATATTAAAACAAGGAAAACTTGCTAGAAATTTGAACTATCGTAAAGAATCCACATATTGTAATGTTCTTACCATCAAGTTTCATAATAGTTTCATTCACTCTAATTTTAAGCTAACGGAGTTAAAAGTGATCTGCTTAGTGTAAATTTATTATGTGATGCACTTGTAAGATGGAGACAACAAATGCTTGTGTAGGGTCCTCTTAAAAATATTTATGCTTGGTCAATAAAAATTTAAAACAAGATTCCACCGATTTGTTAAAAATCTTCTTGGTGTGAATGTGTGATGACTGATGAAGAATTAGTAATTTTTTAGTACATACTATAATACTCCAGAAACAAAAAAACACATTTGGTTGGCTTATGTGAAAAACACTTTAAAGAATACTTCGACCAGTATTTGCATTATACGTATATTTTTTATTTTTAAAAGTAATACACAATTTGTATTTATTTAGCACAATCAGAATGACGTGCTAGCAAAGAAAAAAGAACATGATAATCAACCTAATAATGAAACTTCCAAAATTATACTGAACCATAAAATATAATTTTGAGTTAATTAAACTTTTATATTCCCTACAGGCTATACCTAGTTCATTTGAGATACAGCTTTAATTCAGGTTGTAGTATAAACACGTTTAATACAAAAATATAAGTCTTTTTGAATAAAACCTGTTTTTCTACGTTTACATAATATGAGACGGATAAATGGATAATAAATATTATAGTACTACACTACTAGGTACAATAGTAATTATTATCAATGATATTATGATTAATAATCAGTAACTAAGGATTTACGAAAACCATCTCCGCTAAGCATTGTGTCTACTGTCTAGGATTATACTACGAACGAAATCACTTCCAATTGTTAAGCTTTATTATCTATTTTGGGGCCTAACGGCTAACTATAAAACCCATATTATGGCCCCAGGAGAAGTGATCCCAGTTCGAAAGTAGGTATCTATTTCACGCTATTTCCTGAGACGATCGATAAAAACGGTCATTTGAAACCAATAAACTTACTTGTGAGGTAGCGCAGCGTTCTCTTGAATTTAGATTCTCGAGGCAAATAAAAATATACTTTGTCAAACACGTCAGATTGCAATGGCGACACACGGCTCACCATGTGTGCGGTGTGGCCTTAGTGGACACCGGACAGGACCGCACGAATATTACTTAATAGAAGTTAATTGTTTCTAAATAGTTTTTTACAAAAACACCAATGTATAAAAATATGTACAACTATAATGTGATTTCGATGAAAAAAAAGTACAATTATACTTAAAGTGAGGGACGCTACACTACTAATGCCGTAAATCACAATGGACGCCGATGGTAAGACGCATATTAAACAAGAAAATAATAAGGTTAGACAAAACTAACGAGGCTTACCACCAATTGTTGATAATCATCGTAAACAAGTTAGCATCGGAAACTTTTCTCGAAATCTCATGGATTACAAAAAGGAATACGGAGCACTATTATGGGGCGTAATGCCTCCATAATCCATACCAACTATAAATAAACTTTAAAAGGTTAGTTTTCAGTATAGGTATTAATGCACGGTAGTAATATTGTATAATATTATGTTCATATGTTGCAGTATAATATTATATTGTCTATATTATGCAGGGCTAAATAATATAATTTGTTAACTAATAACATTTTAGCCATGTTTAAAATTAAAAAGTTAAAATCTTGATCTTAATATTATATTACGACTATGGACCCATCACCAAGACCAAAAATAAACCTAAGAGGCTAAAACCCACTGAACGATAAAATATAAATATGGAACTCGAGTTGTATTTAATTAGTACATTGAAATGCGTCACCTTACTTTGAGGCTGTCGTGTATGGTTCCATTAGACATATTTTTATTGGAATCATTTTATCAACAAAATTAGTAATAATGAGTAAACATTTTTTCTCCAAATACAGAAAAATGAAAACGAAATCAATATGGCACTATCATCAGGCGCGTTCCGCCTTGGCAATTAAATATTTTTAAAGAGTCCGAAGACGACCACTCCACATCACCCATAGAACACTCTATGACATTATCATTTATCACATACAAGTTAATATGAGCATTTTCGCGAATGTATACCGAGTGCAAATGTCTGCAAATCGTTGTGGCGTCAATTCTAAAACGGTTTACTGATTACTCCATAGATCTTATACCATTGAACTATAATATATAATAATTATTGAGCAATACATTCGTATATTTATATTAAATACTATACGGTTCAGCGATTATTATACAGATATATTAATAACCGAACCACATCCAACTGCTACGTGCTACTACTGCCACGTCCGGCCACGGCAATGTAGCCCCACACATTGCATCGGTGGCGGTGGAGGCAAAATGAAGCCGGACACAACTTTACCGCCACCACCTAACCGATGCAGTGACCTTAAATGATGTCCTACTGTCCTGCCACAGGTTATATGAAAAATATATTATTTTCGTAATATAATCGGTGGTACTTTTCTGATATTTTATTGTTACTAGGTACCAATCAGTATCGATAGTAATACTACAAAGTAGTACCTAGCCACCTAGGTACCATAGAATTTATTGAATATTTAATTTTAGTATTTTTTTAATACTCGTTGTCTGTTGAGCAATCATCTTTTTTAGTAGTAGCCAAATAAAGCCAATCGATAATTATTATTATTTTTATTAATATTTGTACATTTACCAATAAATAGGTAATATTTTAACTAGTAGGTAGGTACCTTAATCAATAAATCTTACAAAATATAAAAATTGCATAATATACAATTTTTGAACCATTGATGTTAAAATTTTTAAAATCTATAGCTGTACTGTTCTGGCCTGGTCAAATAGTCAATAGGTATTATGTATAAATACAATTCTATGAAGTATAAGCAATTAATACTTATTTAATTTTGTATTCAACCAAAATTAGTAAATTTTTCTTCTGAAAATTAGATTGTTAGAACATTTTTTGTTAATTTTAAATATTTGCTGGGTAAAATGAAAAGGAAATAAAAAAAAAAAAAACATATTAACTAGTTTTGTTACTCTAAGCTAGGTACTGAATTATGATAATTTAATAAATAGGTACTCAATGTCTCTATGTTAGACATTAAGCCTTACCTAAAATTATATAATATCCTAACAAAGATAGAACTCATCCGATCCTATGTTGCACTATATTACTATAATACTCTTCTCAAATAATTCACAATCTTTTTTTTCTGTCCATACATACTTAAGTGTCTTTTATAATATCTACACATATATATAACTATTAGTTATATTTCTTTGGCTTAATATTATATCAAATATCCATAGATCATTATATAATACAACGTATATTTAATTATTATACCTAATATATTTGATAATAGCCAAAAAATATTTAGACAAATATTAACTTTGTTCTACATCATTGAATTATTTTTTCAACCATGGACTAAGATAAACTTATTTTAAAAATAAAATAATAATAACATATTTTAAGCCGTACGTTAGTCTGTGGTAAATTTCTTACAAAACACAAACATAAATAAAAAAAAACATTTGAGTTTAGATGTTTCAAGTGTGTATTTTATTAAATTAAGGGAAATTAAATGTATGACTAAATAACTCTTAGCTATACAATTAATATTTGAATTGGCGATTGCGGCATCTATTTCTCCCCTACTTATTTCACAATTGGTATGGCACAATCCCCACAAAACCATCCATGTCCACAATATAAATATATAAACCGTGATCTATTGCGTATATCCCTCATGTATTGTAGTAAACACCCTAGACACTGACTTCCAGCTGGATCAGTAAAATTTTGGTTTTCTATTCAACCACCTGTAATTTAATATACAAAATAAAATGTAATTTTAAATACTATTTTATATTTAATAATTGAATATATTTTATTTTTTGAATGTTTACCAATAGCGTGTACAATACAAATGGGCTATGTTCTAGGGAAAAGAACCTTAGAAACAGGACAAAGATGTCATATGATTTGGATATCCGTCACACAGCACCATCCATGGGTACATGGTAGAATGTTTTTTTGAACAAACATCTGTCTAGATCTTCATTTACACAATTATGGTTAATACCATAAATAATGATGGTCCTTCTGTAAAAATTGAATAGAATATTAATTTTTTATATATTTAATTACCATCTGTTAATAACAAATGATTTTTGACTACATCATAATTTTCGGTTTGTCTGTGAACATAATATTATATTGGTTCAAAAACCTCTTCCACTTCCTCTACTAATAAATACAATTACAATAATTTCTTCTTTATAAAATAGGTACTTATTTTTTTTTCTTATAGAATTACCTATTTGCGAGTTACATACTCTTTGGCCTGTATATGTCCAATTAGTCTTCCTCTATGTCGTGGAATCCTACTATTTGCAACTGGACCAAGTGCTTGAATATAACCATGACCACAGCCTCCAACCCCACCAGGTATTAGAGGTGGCGACAATGGTAATAGTAGCAAAATAAAAGCACTTACTTGTTGGTTGATATCTAGACTTTAAGATAAATTTAATTGTTAGTTGGTTTAAAACACATAACTAATTTTGAAGATAACCATTCGGAATTGGGCCTATTAGCTCATTTAAACAACTAACTGATGAGTAGGCTACCTTTCGAAGGTAGGTCATAGTGTCATACCGTATTTTGTACAAGCCAAGTAGTGATCTTTGAAGTAATAATTTATCTTCTGACCTAAAACAGTATGTTTCAATACATTTTAAACAATATGTACCGACAGTTTATATGAAAGAATAATCCTTTGTATTAGGTAGGTAAATTAAATTAATTAATGGTTAGTTGTTGACTACAGTAGCAGATCCAGTGCTGAATTTTGGGTTGAAGAGGAGAGGGAGGGGGGGGGGCTAAAGAACAAAACAAATTCTTAACACAGCTGTTTTTAATTGGCAAAGCATTGGCTAACATAGATTTGTTTCATTTTTCTTTAAAAGAAACTTTTTTTTGTCCATATTAAATAATTGTTTTTATGGTAATTATATTAGAGCACATGAAAAGTCGAACTTGACTGTCAAAAATTTACAATAAGTAGGAACACATTACATGTTACACATAGGATGTCCAATGTAGATACTAAAAATTGTTATTTGTCGTGCGTTGAGTTTTATATTATTACATCATTATTTTTAATGTATACTAAACGTCGCAATGAGGATATTCCAGTCAATACTCAATATTCACCAGAACCATGATAAAGAAACATATTAAGTAATAACTAATGTGGTATTAGACTGGCGAGAAGTTTTCAGAATTGTAATTTTACAATTAACAACCGTATGTAAATTGAATCCTGTAACTACATAAATGAATATCTATGACATCTACTACTGCATTACAGTGCAAAAAACACAGTCTAAAACATAGGACAAATACGTGGTGATTGGGGGGGAAGGCTATGCACCTTTTGCGGCTTTCTCCCCCCCCCCCCCCCTATGGTTTACTATTAATTATTTAACGAGTTTCCTTTCAAACTTGATTTTCTACAGAACGCCTGCCTATCTAGACAATTAAATTATTCATGGAATCGTGGTCGATATACATACCTATAATTTAAATTTAAATTAGTTAAGTACTGAAATATTGAAAAAAACAAATCACATCAATAAGTCCAAACCAGTGGATGTTGGCCAATGGAGGTTTTCAACATGATATAATTCTCAATAAAATTATTGATCCGAATATTTAGTCCAAAAACAGAAAATCCATCTGGATGAATAATATTCAACCAGAAAGTTTGAATATATTCAAAAATATCTTCAAGATCTACACTCTACAGGTATGTCCAAACTGCTTGCCATTTCTTGTACAGCCATGAAACTTTCAACAATGTGGAAAATGTTTGAGAGGTCTGGACTCATTATAGATAGCAAATGAGGTAATGCTATAACCTGTGAGAATAGATATTTATGTATTTTATTTTTGAATTGTAATATACTAATTTTTTAAAAATTTAAATCACCATTCATATGATTATTGTATACTAACTGAACCATCTACTGAACCAAATTATGATTTTGAATGAATTGTACAATACTCTGTAATCAAATAAATTAATATATTTAAAATATTTTTTTTTAATTTTTAATGCAATATTTACAATCTATACAACAAGTAGTACAATAAGTAAATTGTATAATACGGTAGTAAAATACATGCATTGAATGACTTGAGGGGTGAAAATCGTCCATCAACAGTATCTCCTAATAATGATGGGATCTCAATGGTGAGCGTTTTTTTTTTTTTTTTTTGTGTTAGGCAAGGGTGTCTCTTAGCCATTTTCTCTTTAACCTTCTAGGAGGGTTGCTGGGGATGGGTAAAGAAGACATGCGAAAAATAAGAGGGTTTTGGTTTAGGTGTAGTTTGGAGTGTAAAATATTTAAAACATAAAATAACATGATAGTATAAGTTATTTTAATTTGTGTTTGGAAAGTTCACTAAAAATGAATTCGTTCACGTTCGAGTTTTTTTCAAATTAATGCATTCACATTCATCTAAAAAATGAATGCGTTCACTAGGTCGTTCATTTAATTTTTTTTTAAAGGAATTGGGTATAATAAGAAAATATTATTTTATAATACAATTAATCAGTACATTTTAAACATATATTTATTAAATGGTAAGTAAATTAAGTGTTAAAAATTATTCAAATTTATTAAAAAATAAATTGTTCAAGTTCAATTTGAAAAAAATCAAGTGACGTTTGTGTATCGTTCAGTAAACATGAATGTGAACGTTGCGTTCATGAACGACGTTCTTTCCAAACACTGATTTTAATCATGAAGTTATACTAAAAAAATAACTTTACAGGATATAATATACGAACCTGGCTAAAATGAGACCAACATCCTATCAGTCTACATTCGGGTAAAACTCTCTTTACTACATTACGCATTGGGGTTTCAAAGTCTGTAGCAACTTCCAGATTTTACCAACTGAAAATATCGAATGACAAATCTCTTCCCAAAACTTACCATAACCGAATGTATACATTTTCCGTTCAGAGGTTTAGAATGGCCTAAAATACAAGAATAGACAAGATAAAAAATAGCATCACGCATCTCAATACAGTTACCTATCTCAAATGAAAAAAAAATAGTATTTTAGTGAATTAAAAAATTACATGTATATTATATTTGTTAAATTGCATAAATTCGTTATTATGATTAAAATATTAGAAACAAATTTTTAAAATATGCCATTTTACAATGACATTAAGAATAATGAAAATGTAAACTTTTTTTAAGACTCGCAGAAGCAGAACTCGTAGAAGCAACGGCAATTGCCACGCGATTTTAATGAAAAACGTTTGTTTATGTCTTGTGTTATGACCACGATTAAAGATATATATAGGTGTATCTTTAATCGTGGTTATGACCAACATTTTGTTACACGCTGTTATCATTTTCGTTATTTACAGTTTTACCAGATGACTTACAAGAAATCTTCTATAACACAATATATCCGTTTTATCTTTATGAAATTTATAATTTATTTATTTTTATCCTTTTACTACAAGGTCTATAATTTTGTCAAATTTTGAACACGGATACTATAGATACTATGGTTGCACGATGGCTTTTATTGGATCCATGAACATTAATGTTAAATTCACAGATCTACATCTATACTTAGTATAGTATATATATATGAGTATTAATTAATTAATATTAACTCTAATGTTCATGATAGGATCACCGCGTTACAGACCATATACTGAGTTATACTTATACTTTAAGGTCTAAAATTGAGCGTCGTCGAATGTTCTTTTAAAATTTTACGAAATGTCACGTCTTACTAGCACCCTCTACTGCCAGCGCAGCAGAGCTTCTACCACAATTTATACAGGTATATCTTAAATCATGGCTACTACGTATAGTACACTGCTATATAGCCAACATAGCCACTATGGAGCTCTTGTATGACACGACTTTTTTTATATGTTCATTGTTCACTACACAGTTTGATGCTTAGATCATAAAGTCTAAACAATAATCATGTGATCTAAGGTCTGATGTCTATATTAAGTATTAACCACAGAATAATAAATTATTGGATAGTACTATCTTAAATCGTGATATTAATTACTATATAAGGTACTCGCGAACACGATTAAGATATAACTAAAATCGTGGTTGCACAATGCACATACGAAATCACCGCAGGTCCACAGAATACAGATAAATTAATCTGTGCCACGATTAAAAATAGCAATCAGTTTATTTAATATAATTATTATAATATCGTTAATCGTGTTATTCTGTGCTCAAAGTTCTTCTATTTTATGTGGGTTTACTACGTGACACGACTTGTGCAACTTGATGAGAACATTTGGCACTGATAAAATATTATTTAATATTTATTGCTCGTTGTGCGACTTAGATCATTTACATATGTATATTATACATTGTGTATGATCTAGGGTTACCATATACCAAGTATAAGGTCTATAGTTGCTGCAGTATCAGTGCACTATCTTAAATAGTGGTCCGTAAGAAGACGTGATAAAAACACATGTTTGCCTGTCAAAACATACGTTTCAACTATCAAGTTTAAAATATATAACTGTTTTATTTAAGTAAAGGAATTTTGATTATACCATACTGGACGTCTTCTTCATCTAACTAGTTCGTGTTTTTCAGATTTTCAGTATTCAGTGGTTAATAGTCAGTACTTATGTCTTATTCATAATCTCAATGGTAATTACTAATTTCACACTGTACACAGTCAGTTGATGATCCAGCATTTCGGTCATGGTCAGATGTTAAAATAAATATAGTAAGTTATAAATATTAAATTTAGTTCAAAAATTCATTGATTTTGTTATATAGTGAATATTCTGAAATGGATACAAGCAATGATTATTTATTCGCTCTACAATTGCAAAACGAGTTGGCCAATTTCGGAGAAAATGACGGGGATCTTTGCTACATAGATGTGACAAAATCTACAACCAGTTTGGCTGCCAACTATAGTAGTGATAGTGTAATTGATTTAACTGATATAAATACCAATGTTAAAAAACAAAAGCGTAATGCTATTGATAATGTATCTCGACCAATTAAACAGCCATGCCCTAAAAACGTAGAGGCTACCGAAAGTATAGTAGACCATTCTTGGGAAATGTTGGATCCAAATCCAGACATACACGGTCTATTTTTAGCATTTAATCGACAGTACTTTTGGAGTACATTGAACTCAGTCATGATACAGTGGAGCAAAAGGATGACAGTCTGTGCTGGTTTATGTAGATATCAAAATGGGTTTTGTTCCATAAGTCTAAGTGAACCACTGTTGAAACTCAGGCCTCGAAAGGATTTAGTTGAAACATTATTACATGAAATGATTCATGCATATTTGTTTCTTACAAATAACAAAGATCATAACAATAGAGATGGACATGGGCCAGAGTTTTGTAAACATATGTACAGAATAAATGTAGCAGCTGGTACTAAAATAACAATTTATCATGGTTTTAACGAAGAAGTTAAGGTGTACAAAGTACATGAGTGGAAATGTAATGGGCCATGTCAATATAAGAGGCCATTTTATGGATCTGTAAAAAGGTGCATGAACCGCGCTCCAGGGCCATACGATAGGTGGTGGACTCATCATCAAGCCACTTGCGGTGGAATTTTTACTAAAATCAAAGAACCTGAAGGGTTTGGATTGAAAAAAAAAACAACTGTTAAAAAACAACTGGATGTTAAACCTGTTAATAAAATTACAAATTTCATTACAATATTGGATTCTCCAACAAGCAAAGTTCATCATGATGGTTCTGAAATACATTCTAGATCAAAAAAAAATGATCAAAAGCTTCAGTTTAATAACAAGTCAAACTCACCCACACAGGACGTTTATGATAAGAATGCCAAAATGTCTTCTGAACCTAATGAATATGATAAACAAAATGTTAAAAAGAATTTATATGTATTGGATGATTTTTGTAAAGTAGATGATTTTAGTGATGAAGAGGTAGCTGAGTTGTATGATGAATTAACTCCATGTCCCATTTGTAATGAAAATCAGTTAACAGACTGGTTGAATGATCATTTACAAAAATGTAGTCAGTTGAGAGAGATGTTTGGCAATGAAATTAATGATATGTGTAAATGCCCAGCTTGCAATGATACAGTTGATAGATCCTTAATGAAGGAGCATTTAAATAGTTGTAAAATGTTGATCAATGTGTTTGAGAATGACACTGATAATATTCCTGATGATACTAATTATATAAACTGTCCATGTTGTGATAAAATGGTCAAAGAAAGCAATATTAATACACATTTAGATATTTGTATGTCAACAGAATCACTAAAGCCAAATCATGATAAAAATAATTTAAAATGCCCATGCTGTGAAAAAGTATTTAAAAATATTATAGAATTGGATGATCATATAGATAACTGTTTGTCAGTATGTTAATAATTAATTTTATATTTCGTTTATTTTTTATATTTAATATATTGTGTTATAAGATGTTTATTTTTTTTATCTTCATTGTATCTCAAATAAAACATAAATAGATAAACCTTACTAATAGAACATCCCGAATTGATTATTTTATTTTAATTTATTTTAAGTGATATGCATAGCAAGTACTAAGAAAAAATCAGAAGCCATGCCCTCATTTGCACGTTAAGTGGACTTGCTTGTCAAAAATCACACGTTTATACGAGAAAAATGTTCACGAGTACTCAGTATTTGTCATAATATTAAATATTTTATATTTTTACATAATAGTTGTTACAGTATAAAAATCATATAATTGTTGTGTATACACCAGGGATGGCAAACCTTTTATATTATATTTTGTTATACTATAATTTGATTGTATGATTAATGTATAGTATAAAAAGGTTAGTTTAGGTTATTATAGGTTCTATAATGCACAAGCAGTCCCTGCAGCGCCGCCGGTTGCAAAACGAAAAAAAAAAAAAAGTCCTACAATATTATATAATATATAATAGTAAAAATGTTTGCGTGCCATGGATTTGCCATCCCTGGTATATACTATAAACTATTCAGCTGAAAACCTTATAAAATCTAGCACCAGCACTGTGTAACTTTATAATATTTATGAAGTGTAACTCTAACAAATAGCTAAATTTAATGGTGGACAATAAGTAAATTCTAGTTGTTAGCTTATGCTAATATCAATCATTAGAGATATGTCTTATAATCAGGGTCGGACTGGCCTGGGCCCCCGGCTGGTTTGGGCCCCCAAACTTTATGTTCATATTTTAAACTTAAATTAGATTGCCATTTATTTATTTACTGTATTTAAACATGTCTAAACATTTTTAAGGGCTCCTTATCAATTTTAGATTTATAAAATAAAATGGATATTATTTCTAAGAATTAAGAAGAATCAGTCACTAGCCAATATCTTGTCAATTTTAGTCCGTATTATATATTTATGAATTACTACTATATATTGTGAAATCGTTTTCCCTTATTGCTTTGGGGGTCAATATTTGTCAATTATTTTCCATTAATTGAAGAATTGAATGGTTTTATTTGTTCAGATGAATTTAGATCTATATTAAAATTGTATTACTGGTAACTACCAGATAGCTATTATTATTATTACGTTTTTATTTATTATTTATTAATATAATATTGTAGGGTGATATTACCCTGAGGGTGGCATTAAAAGGTTCTTACTTAAAACAATACACATTTCTGTTAAAATTACTAAAATTTACTGTTTTTTTCAAAAACGCATATTAAATACTGTCAGTCTTAGTAAATGACCTGACGTCTGAACGTATATCCAACAACTGCATGTCTGAATCGTAATATATAATAATTTTGCTCGAGGATCGTTTTAATAAACTTTAAACACTGTTGTTTTTAAGTTAAATTATACATTTTAACTAGCCATTTATTTAAGTTTCTTAATTATTTAAATTTAAATGATGTTCACACTATAAAGAGGAGAACAATTACTATGTAATGCATTACTATGCAAGGTCAATTTTATTTTTTGATATCACAAGTAGGTAAGAAAAAAGTTCTTATTCTTTAAAAATTCATAATTTTTGATTTTTCTCAAATTTAATAAAAAAATGTTGAGTTTTGATGTTGAAGAAATAAAAACAATGTTGCACTGCACCGTAAATGTTCTCCTTTTTATAGTCTGAACATTTGGTCCCTTGGCTTAGATCACAGCCTGAGTGGTTCTTACCAGCGCAAGAAGAGCCAACACATACAGGTGTAGCATTCTCTTAAGATCAAACAAATTGTTATAAATTATTTTATTTATAAATAATAATTTTGTAGCACCTATATTATAAAATAATATGTATTAGTATATATATGTATAAAATATTAAGCCTTTATCTGAAATGTCTATCATTATAATAAGAATTTTTTTTTCATTCCATATAATCGGTATCTTATTTAAATACAAATATAGAGAAGTAGAGAGCGGAACTAACAATTTTTACTATAACCTTAGAAAGAGCCCTTTGATCAGACTGGTCCTTTTGACACCACTCCGACCTTGTTTATAATAACCATAAAATATTGAGGAATACTCAAATGTGTCCTAGGAAACAGGGAACACTAACTAACTCAGCAATACTTTATGTATATTATTGAATTTCATTTTCAGATTAGGAAATAAAACTGCTGACCATCAATTCCAGAGATTGACAATTTATTGAACTCGTGTATTTTATGCGGCAGCTTAAAAAAACCAGTTTTTACTTTTTAGGGAATTATTAATTTTTTTAATTTTTAATCTATTTTTATTACTATTACAAAATAAAATATACCAGAGGATACCTGGGAGATGATTAGGAGATAGTTAGGATAACATTTGACATAATAGCAAAAAAAAATCCATGATTCATTTTGTGCATGTGTACACAACTTAGTTTGTTTTTAAAATAATCTTTCATTTTTAATACCTTTTTCGGATTGGTTTAATTTTTTCAAATCATTCTATTGTACACTAAATTCAATATAAAGCTATTTCAAATTAGGCTTTTTATCTGTATTTTTACTAATTATTAATTATTTCCTTTAATAATAGTTCAATTAAGTTTATGTTTATACTCACCATTTAGTTTAACAGTTGAGCTCCACTTTAGAATACATGGTGATACATCAAAATTACTTGATATAATTTAACCGCCCCAAGCATTTTATTAAAAATGTGTTGTACATACGAAGCTAAAAGTCAGAGAAATTTATGACTAGTAGACTACTTATATTCTGAGTACTGTATTCAAAAATATGCATAAAGTATCAACTGAGTTATAGAGATTGCTGTTTCCGTAAATAAACTATAATTGGACATTAAATATATATTCAAAAATAAATTTCAAGATTTTCTGACATTTGTTTTGGTTATTGTTTAGATACCTGTATTATTGTTATTCTTAGAAAAACTATTGAAAAATCAAAAAATGATCTCTTCAAACTATGTAAACTCAATTTTTAGTTATAAAGGTGCTTCATGGAAAATGTTTTGCTAATGTTTCTACTGAAATAGTTCAGTACCAGAACACTTATAAAATCACTTTTTTTAAATCTTACACTATAATATAGTTTGTCGCGTAAATGCATTAAAAATTAGATATTTTTATTACACGAATTGTTTATTTTGTATATTGATCAACTACAAAAAAATTAGGAAAATTATTTAATGTCATTAGGTAGGTAAAAAATAAAAATGTTAAAAGAGTTCTCTTTTTGAGCTTGTATAAACAAATGGCTTCAACTAAATATTCTAGTATAAATAAATATTGCATACCTATAACACTTATTTTTTTTAACAAGTTACAAACGTAATACTATACAATTTATTTTAACAAGGAATAATTAATATACATGTTATTGATATATTTTTGTATATTTAACTACATCATAAAAAATTGCATTTCAAATGTTAAGTCACATTAATACTGCTACATAAATTATGTAAAGGCCGGTCAAAACAACAAAGTTAAATACATTTGTCACTAGTATATATCATTATACATTTAATACATAATATAATATATGTAATGGCTAATGGTGTACTTCTATTCCAAATGTAGATTGTACATAATTTTTTACAGTAATATTGAAATAAGTTAAATTCAATAATTTTACATTTGGGTTACATAAACAATTATTTAAATCTAACATTTTTCTAGTAGCAATATAGATCACATCATTAATATATATTTTAATTTCATAATTGAATGAAGAAATGGCATGGGTGAAAATTAAATTTATAATTAAATAAAATGTATCAATTTGTCTTATTTTAATGATATGATCAATAACAAACAATACAAATTTGTGGCAATATATTAAAGTATAAGATATGCCATTTTGAATACTTAATAGGGGGCATAAGATGATATAGACCAATACTTTTAAATTAATGTTGTTTTAACAAATGTTTATTGTTCAAATTCAGAAATTAATACTAAAAGCAATTTAGCAAAAATGACAAAACAAATGAAAACGTTTAATCAGTTTAGGAAAGAACATATTTCCTTATTCAGTTATTAAGTTATTATATTATAACCCAAACGCATTAAACGAATACGTAAATATACAACAATTTCACCTTTAATACACCATATTTGTCTTTAAGGTATAGTATTTAATTGTGAATATATTAGTATTTTATTTCTAACACATATTTTTTTTAAATTAATGCTATGCATAGTTTTACAAATATAATTTAAAATGCCTTATATATTCTGTTATTTTTTTGCTATAATGTTTTAATTGAATACATTTTATGCCAAGACGTATGGACAAATTATTTTCAAAAGATGTTAACTCAATCTTGGTTATTTATTATTCATGAATTGCATAAATAAATAGTAATGTGAGACAATTATTCCATCCTTTTTTTCTAGGGCTATTATGTCTATAGTGGTTTTATTGGTTTACAATTTTTGTACAGTAAATTTTAGTATTAATCAGATTTTTAAACATATAGTATATATTTAATTGTATTTAAGTATTATACATAATAAATAATCATTTTATAAAAAAATAAAAAATAAAATAAATAGGAACTAAAATTGTTCAATGCTATTATATTTTCATCAAGTAAATATTGAGGTTACCTTAAAGAGGTAAAATGTATTGTTCATAAATTGTTTATTCTCAACAATTGACATTTTCTGGTTTTATTTTAAAACTAATATTTTATAAATAAAAATTGTAAAATATAACATTTGAATTACACTACATAATATAATATTACATAGGTACTGATTTAATTCAAGTCACTATACAATTTTAGTTAAATTAATGTAATATTCTTGTTTATTGTTTCAATTCTATTGTTAAATCAAACATTAACACTTATGGTGGTTCTTTTCTAAGATAATAAGTTCATTAAGTTGTAAAGATAAGTAAGGATGGCAGAAATAATACAATTATTTGTTCAGAATGCTTTGGATTTGTTAAATATTGTTTTTTTAACATGATCATAATATCAGGGGTCTTTATTTGAGGATCACTAACATATTTTAAGCATAACATGTATTTTTAATAAATCAATACATGTTTTTATTAGGAATGCGGCCCTCAATCTTATAGCCCGCATTAGGTAGAAAGATTGAAGTCCCCTGGTCTAGATTGTATTCAACAATTAAAACATAAATAAAAATAAAAAATAAATATGTCAATTGCAAATGATAGTACTATGTTGTAAATACATTTAGTGAATTTAATAAATATTCATAGTAATAATTTATTCAATATTTTTGAATAAAATAAAAATAAATAAATAAACTTTACTATACATAAATAAAAATAAGACTATCTAATAATAATATTAATAGTTAAAAAAAATCATGTATAAAATTTCAACTAGAAAACATAGCTTAATAAAATAAAGTTTTTTTAAAAAAATGACTAGATATTTACTAAAATCTATCTTGTTCAAGACCTTGTTAATTGTTAGTTTTAAAATTTGATCTAATTTTAATAATAATACAAGTATATATTAGGTACCCAAATTAATGAGATATTCCAAATTTACCAAAAATATAATAATTTTAAAAGCAGATTGGATGGACATGAGTTTGTTTCATTTCACTCACTATGATGGAGTTACATGTTGTTATTTTTCCAAATATGATAGCAATGATTACATAATGATTCAACGTGGTGCACGGTGTAAGTATAGTGTGTATGTTATTTTTCAAATTTGAAGTGCTTATAAAAATTGTGAATAACAAATTCAAAATTAAAAACGGCTGATTTAACCTTACATTAATATTTAAAATATTTATACTTATGAACAAATTCAATTGAAAAGTCAACTAAAGTAAGTCATAAATTCATAGGGGAAATTAAAATTGTTGTGAATAATTTACTGAACATTGCAATTTTTGTTAATTGTAGTACAGTATAAGATGCATTTTGTTTGTCATTGTGAAAAAGTTGGAGAACTAATATATAAAATATTAACAATTTCACGGTAAATCATCCGTAAACTACTGAACATTTACAAAAATTAATTTTATCACTTTGCAATAGATATTTGATAATCGAGGAGGCTATATGAGTCTCACTGCCGTGGACAATTATGTTTTCATTTGGAAAAACACAAAATCATTGTAAAAACCAAAAAATTCCTTACAACTGCTTTGAACATCATTTGCTATATAAATTTAATATATTTTATTAAATATACTTTCATGTAGTTTTTTTACTTCCTCTTGGCTTTATGCCTTCACTGATTTGCCACATAGCTTCTTCACATAGAAACTCATCAAAATTGTTAAAAAATGCAATGATATGATCATGTTTCTTGAAATTGTAGCATCTGTAAAAATATTTTGGAATAAGTATTCGTTAGTCCAATATACAGTTTCTGAAATGGATGAGGTCACTAGTATATGCCTATGTATACATAGGTTATTATCTCCAAAATCTGGGTTTATTCAAATTATTTTTAAAACATTATCTTAAATGTAAAAATAAACAGTACAAATCGATACGTCACATAGTTTTCGTGCTTGTTGCTCGTTTTTCACTCTCGAATTGCCGACTAAAAAATAAGGGGTGTGAAACATTGATTTGTACGAGGACACTAAGATAAACAGTGGTGATAATTATTTGTTGTCATTTAATATACATGACTAATTAAGTAATTAATGGTGTTTTACATTGACAGATAGTTGTTGAAATAATAACAAATCTAGGATTAACAAATTTGTAAGCATAGAATATATACTTAATAAAAATGTTATCTTTTTCAGATGTAACTTGTTATCACTAAAAAAAACATAACTCAAGTGTATGGCAATAAATCTTGGTCTTGTTATTATTTCATCATTTTTATTAGCTTTCAAAAAATCTTCATTGGGCTACCACATTGAGTACGCATATACCAGTGACCTCATCCATTTCAAAAACATCCTGTATAATAACATATTTTTACCCTTTTTTAAATCTCTTCATATTTTCAACAATATTAAACTGTTGCCATCTTTTTGAAAAATTTATTATATTGTCTGATATATAATCATTGTTTCCGATGTGTACAAATGTTAAATCTTGTAATACTAGTCCTCTGAAATAAAAAAGTTTTTTTAAATGTTGATGTATACTTAACTATCAATAAAACAATAAATTCATTGTCAAGTATTTCAATGTGATAGGCATTTATGTTAATGTAAGTTGGACTACTGTAGCAAAAATGAATTATCCCTTTATTGTAACTAATACAAAATATAAAAGATAATATTTTCTTTGTTAATTTCATTTCTGTAAATCAGACCCAGTACTATATTATAACTATGGTTTATCATAGTCACATGTTATTAAGCGAACTTAAATTATCAGAATATGTATACCTGGGTATATTATTGCAAATATCAATAATTTTATTTCAATTTTCAAATAATACTTTCAAAAAAACTGTATGACAAAATAGTCACTGTGAGTTATCCAAAGTTATGGGCTGGAAAAAAACTTTTGCAACGACTATCAAATGATTAATTTTGCATACTTGTATTAGGATAGAATATAAGAGGATACACATAACATAGCAAATTTTCATTCAGAAAAATCCTTTATTTATTTATTATTACAATGAATATTGTCAAATCATAAAATTTCAAGGAGAGAATTTTAACTAGGGCCTAACATTTTTTTAATTTTGAAGAAATGTTGAGTGTTTTAAAAATCTTAGAGGATATAACTTCTTGGACATGTTCAAAAAATAAAACAAAATATAAAATATAGATAGATCTGAAGAAGGAATTTGGTAGTTACGATAACAATACAGTATACTGTACTGTACATATATTCATACAATTGTAAAACAAAAAATATTATTTTCAAGGTTGAAAATGGTTTGTTCAAGAAGTAATAAACTAATAAACTAGTCTAAACATATACATAATAATTTATGCTAGTTGATTATTTTAATACTATCATAAGATTTAAATTGTAATATATTAAAATGTATTAAATTCTCTTACATGTAAGGGATGCAAGGAGGATTTGTGTCAGCTAAAGCTTGTCTATATGCTCTAAAACTTGATGAGCTATCAATCAGTGCACAATATTCTTTTAATCCTTCAGTTATATATTTTTGCCATTCTAAACGTCTTATTGGTGCACTATCTAAAGCAGATAAAAGGGCTAAATATGAATTAAAATTATTCATTTTTCTTAAGCTTTTCATTATCTTGATAAACTTCAAAACATAGCGTTCACGTTCTTTAGCTTCATTTTGTTCTAGTATGCGTGACCTCGCCCTAAAAAATAATATATTACCTATGAATATGATATACTGAGTGATTCACAAAACAAGCTCACACGGATTTTTCCTTTAATTATGAATTTATTCAAATTGTATTTGAAGGAATTCTTAAGTATACTTAAATACCATATTTATAAATTATTTAGATTTTTTAATCAATTTAAGAAATGTTATGGGTCAACACCAACTTATTTTAATCAAAGAAGAAACAAACTTTTTTGCTGTACATTTTTTAAAAAAAATTTTATGTATCTAAATCAAAGTTTGCTGAAGTAATTTTTGAGTTCTTATAATGGTTATTCTAAGAATAATGGTCATTAAAAATGGTTTAACAAAAATATAAAATATACATAATATTTTATCTAGTAACTATTTACAATATTCATTATACAAACACCTATAACAAATTATAAAATATTGACATAACATTTTAAAATATTAATAACCCCTACTCTTCCAAATTAGTGTGTTTGGAATGTTCACTAAAAAATGAATTTGTTTACATTTAATCCTTAAAAAACTTTTTTTTTCAAATGAATGAGTTCATATTCATTGAAAAAATGAATGCATTCACTAGATACTTTGTTTAATTTTTTATCATATGAATTATAAAAAAAAAAAATATTATTACATAATGTAACTAATTAATATATTTTAAACATAATATAGCAACTAAATTGAGTCTTACAAATAGTACTAATTCTTTAAAATAAAAACAAGTGATGTATGTGATCGTTCACTAAAAATGAACGTGCGTTCATTCCAAACACAATATCATGGACTCATCATCCTAGTTCTTTGAAAACTATTCATTTGAATTTTGATTCAGATATATTAAAATTATCAAAATCTATAAATCTTATCAAACAATTTACTTGAAAAAGTTCACACAAGGGTCATAGTCAGCAAGATTAACATAACATTTCTTAAACGATATCAAAAATCTAAATTTGAAAATATAGTCCTTAGGTAAGCATACTTTAAGCTAGAACTTAAATCAGAATTTCAATAAATATATTATTAATGGAAAAAATAGGGGTGAATACACTTGGTGAATCACCCAGTAGAACAAAAATAATAGATCATACATACCAGTATGACATTTTGTTAAAATGTTCTGTAAATTCTGTAAGATTTGGACTACGTTCTTCATTTTGTTCCTTAACCCAAATTAAAACTTCAGGTATCTCAATTTTCATAAACAGTTCTGAATCCAACATAGTCATTTGTTCAGCAATAAGTTCTGTCTTATAGTCTAATAAAGTGGCTTGACGAGTGTATATATTTTGAGATGGTAACAAGGCATTAATTGAAGTATTATGCACCAATTTCGCTTGATACCTTTCTAAAAGTTTTACTCTTAGTGCTTTTGCCATGGTTAAATCCCCAGCACATAATAATTGATATACAAATTTCATAAGAATTTGCAGCACTTCATTATCTAAGTCTGTTAAACTATAATCAATTGAACCTTTTAAATAATTGTTTTTATAATTTTAAACATTATATTTACTTACGTTAAATCACTAACTACTCTAACCAATAGAGAAAATGATTCTCGGCCAGCTCTCTGCCTATTCAAATCACCAGAGTTCTGGAACCTTTGGTGTCGCATGCATAGTTTTTGAATTAACTCTAAAGGTGATATAAATGTTCTATATGTTGTAAGAAACGCTTCTTGATACATGAAATCTAAAGTAATGGTAAAAATATAAAATATAAATAATTAATACATACAAGGTTATCCATTTAGTGTCTTCACTCATTATTTGATTTTTTGAAAAATATTATTTCTATATAATTTTTTGATGTCATTTTAAAACCACATTTATTACAATGTTTTGTCTAAATTATTTTTTTTATTTATTTTTATCAATGAGATTTTCAACATAGATTTTTAATTTCATATTCCAAAAAAGAATATCTTTTGTTGTTGGTATATAATATCAAACTTTGAACGAGTAAATAGTAAATTATAAGTAGAACACAGATTTGTATTTAATTATTTATAGGATTTTCTATAGTTATTCTTACGAACTGTAATAGTTTTGGCTAATGACATTTAATAATTATTGCATATTGAAGTGAAAATAAATTATACACTCTTTTCAAAGAGTTCTAAAAAAGGTGTAAGCAAATATTTTGTTACGTAAAAATTTCTAATAATAAATTTTGTGAACCACAAATCTCTTGTTTTTCAGGGAACTTATATTGATTTTAGTTTTTAACAGGAAGTGAACTTTCATAATCATATTTTTAATTGCCCATGATAATATATCAGTCATTGATCACTTTTTACTCCATAATGTCTTTAAGTCCATACTTTCGTTAATATGCCATAAATAAATAATTTGTTTTGTCATACAATTTTTCAATATATTTCCTCGGCAAACAAAACACGGAGGTTTTTTTTACTGATGGAAAAGTAATATTTTACAACCATTGAGGTTAATACATTGTAGAAAACATACAATCAATCATTTGTTAAACACTTTCACTAAAAAAATGAATTGTTTTTTATTAAGTAGGTACCTAATTCAGTTTAATTTATTTTAAATTAATAAATAAATAATAATTAAACAACAATTTTTTTTTTTAATAGTAGCATATTTTTACTTCATATTATATAGAATATTGTGATACTTTTTCTTTTTTTTAGTAGAAAATTCTTACTGCGGTTATAAGTATAGTTATAGTTCAATAGTTATGAGTAAAGGTATTCCAAAAAATAATCTGAATATAAAATTGTATGGATTTTAAAATGAGTTAAAACTCTTCAAAATAATGAGTGTACACTTAATAACTTTTTATAATGAAATTTTAAATGTTAACCATTTTTAACTGCATTTGTAGCATGAACTACAAGAGCATCTGCATGTCCGCCACGAACAAGTGGTCCATCTTCTTCTGGTTTTTTAAATACTAGCCATTGAGATACATTTAAATCATCCATAATGTTAACTTCACTAATATCAGTTTGTAGAGGTTGTTCAGTAGTACTTGGTGTAATATCCCTGGAAAGCATGGAGTAGGTTGTAAAATAATTACACAAATCAAAAACATAACTAAAAATTATTCACTTAACAATTAGTGTTTGTTAGTACTTTGTCTTTAAAATCTGTTAATAATAATCAATAAAATAAATAACCTCATGTACTATTAAGAGTAAAAAATATCCATAACTACTTAGGAAATTGACTCCAGTCAGTGGCATATTTAAGGGGGGAGGGCCCTTAGAACCTGGACCCCTCCCATAGACTTGATCTTGTATATGTTAAATTTTGTTTGCACATGATTAGTAAAAATACATTTTATCATACAAAAGGTTTTGTAAAAAAATGTTGCTGCTTCAATTGTTATCAATTTACAATGCCAGTATCTACAGCTACTCCCAAAAGATGTTTTTCAACCTTTTTTAAAAATGTATCTTAGATCAACTATGAATGAAGTTATTTAGGATATATTTGTTATAAAAGTTATAACCAAATTATACGGTATATTTTAAATTTGTTTTATACTTAGGATAGACTAAATTGACTGGCATTGATGTCTTATTCATTGGGAGATACCCTTCAATGTGGATGCAATTAATAATAAAATGGCGTTAAGTCCTAGGCGATTCAATATTGTCTTATAATCTCACAATAAAATGTTATTTAATTACAATAAATAATTAAGAGTCCTTACACCCAAATATAAATGTGTTCTGAAAATCAGCTGGACCCTTCCCATGACAAATCCTAAATACGCCACCGACTTCAGTAATGTTTGATTCAGATCAACCTTTAATCTATCGTTGGTCATAAATCAAAGTAAAAAATAAAAATAAATAATATTTTTAGTACTCTTACTGAATTTCTAAACACTGGGTTTGAATTGGAGTCGATATAACTTCTGTTATGTATACTTTATTTGGAGAATTAGGTGGTGTCAGTTCTCTATAAGAAGATGTCATTATTTTACCTCGTTTAGGAGGTAATGCTGGTGGATCAGAGTCACTGAAATTATGAAATATTTTTTAAAATTTAAATAACTTGAATTTAAAATTTAAAATATGTTACATACTTGGTAAAATAATATTGTTGACAAGAATTTTCAACACTATAACTTTGGATTTCACTTTGATACTTTTGAGGTGAATGCCAATTACTTTGATGAAGCATTGTGTATGTATGAACAGAATGACGTAGAAATTCTGTAGTATTCCCATGCGTACAATTGCCAAACATTTCCATGTATGCCATTACTACAATAATTTAATGTTTTAAGTACATAATCATTTTTAATATTTAAATAAAGAACAAAATTCTATATTCACTCTAAACTATTTTTAAATTAAATTTGATATAGTTTCTTCTAACTAAATGGTAACTAACATGCACAAAAAAACCTATATTTTAGAACATCTTACCAGAATAGGCCACCGAATGAAACACTAAAGAAATAAAATAATAACTATAAATTGATTTATCATAAATAATAATCATATTAATAAGAAAATTATGAGTTAAATCATTTAATTATCATTTTCCTAATTATTCAATTTAAAATAAATCATAGATCATTATTTTTTTTATTATTTTAATCATTTATGATAATGTTTGAAATCAAATATACATAATCATAAATAACTGAATAATTGTTATTAAGGTACAATAAAAATCAAATTATTTAATTAACTTATTTGTTCATTTTTAGCAAACAGTTAGTAATTATTAATTATTCAACTATTAAAATATTAGGTAATAATCAATATTTAAATAATAAATATAGATAATGAATTTCAATAATTGTACACCTGTAATATAAATGTACTCCAATAACATTCTTACATCTAATGTTGTAGAAAACACTAAACATTTTAAGATATCTGGTTCCAACAGATCTTTTTATAGGTAAAATATTAATACTTCCATAATATTTTGATACTTTATATTTATTCTGAATTTTAGAGCAATATAATCTCATTTTAATATAACTTACTATGTTTCTTTTTCAATGGCAAAGGTGGTGGATTTGAAGGATCAACTGCAGGGTTATCAAGTGATGCAGTATGTGTTAAAGCTTGAATACTACAATGACTGTTATTTCTATGGAAGTTATATTGAGTGGCCATTTCATCCATAGATAAATTATCATAAGTAGACCTCAACCTTTGCCTAACTATCCGTTTTTTTTCTGGCACTGGTGGTGGAATCTAGAAAAATTACAACTTCCAATTAGGAAATACACAATAAACACGTAATGTATGAAGTTAAATGAAAAAATAAAGTACTTCATCATTTGATGCTGAACAATTAATTTCGTTTGATACAACAGTTCTATTAGTGATTTGATGTATAGTTGTGGATTTAGAATGTGTCCAAACTTGATTTGATGCCTGATGAATAAATGCAGTTTTCTTTTCCACCATTGCTAATAAACACAAATTCAATTAGGTATTTGTCCATAATTAAAGTACATGTTGAATTAAAGAGAAGAAATCAATTCTTCTTTCAGAGATACAATTACAAATTTTTGCTCTAAAAAAATATTAAATATATATTGATATTTGATATATACTAATATGCTAATATTAATAAGCTTTGACATTCAAACCTGCATTCAGACAGTTAAACATTTTTTCAATAAATAGGGAATAAATGTAGTAATGTAGTAATAAGTGATGATTAGGGCAGAGGACTTGTAGCTCTAAATATGCAAGCACTTATACACTAAAAAACCCCATAATATTCAATTTAAATATGCACTTAAAATAAACACAATTCCGCTGAACTGACTGAGACTAAATACTAAAATATTGATTCTTGTCGTGTCTAGAAACGTTTTATAAATAAATCCTAATCGAATAAAAGCCCTCATGGTGTACACACGGATCTGTGGTGGTGATGTCGTAGGTATAGTGTACATTAAAATCGTTATTGCTTCTAAGAAAAATGTGTGCCCGAGCACAGTCAAAAACCATATTAAACGACAAAAATTAAAAATAAACAAATTTTTATCCAAACATTTTGACTGTATTGTTTGAAATAAAAATGTCACTGTGGAAAAAATCGATTCAAGTAAAATATGTCTCAAAAAATATAAAATAGCGTATAAAGTGTAAAATATGCCCTACAAACCAAAAAAACGTAAAATATGCATTTACACGCACAATAAAATTTCAAAACTAGCTTTGTGGAAGCATGAAACGTATTTGTTTCGCACTCTGCTATTTTTGTGACTGTGCAAAAAAAATATGCAAATGCTACAAGTCCTCTGCCGTCATGATGATAGTAGCTATGACAATGAACAGGTATGCATAAAATGACAAAAATGTGTATACAAGTGTGAACCAGTTTACAATAACATTTAGTCATATGCACTAATAGTTGATGTATACAATTAATAATATTGATTATTATTTATTATGTTTCTCTACAACGAATAACATAATCATTTTTCTGTTATTTTACTAACAGTTTTAAATTTTAACCAAATTCTTTAAAATAGGTATAGAGTTGATTTGAACTGTGCTTATACAATGTTATAGGTGTTATAAATGATAACTTACTATGTTGAGGAGGATACTCGGAAAATGGAGATATTCGTTTTTCATTGCATTGGTCTACTGAAGCAGAACTGGAAGAACAGTTACAATAGCCACATACATGGTTGGCATCATCTAATAATTCATATAATTAGTATTAAATATTGGTAAATATTAGCAATTAATGGTTTACTTGTTAAAAAAGAACTATCATCATTGCACATAACAATGTTAACTTCATCATCATTTAAAATTGAATCCAGCGAACCTATTGATGAAGACCTATCAGAAAGACTTAACGGCTCTAAAGATAAATTGCATAGGGTATGCTTGGTGTTATTATGCCCAGTACGACGTTTTGGTGGCAAAGGAGGAGGAGAATTATTTTGGTCAGTCTTTTTCAACCATGATCTATTTAGAAATAATTGATGTTAATTATTAGACAATATTTTTACTATAAAACACAATTAATCTTACCGATCAGGTAAAGGTGGCTTTGAAGGAGGGTTACAGTCAACCGTATCAAAGGAATGATTACTCGTTTGTTCTAATATTTCTCTTTCTCTCGGTGTTAATGGTATATCTGGTAATGAAACCCTTTGCTTCAGTTCATCGGGAAGTTTCAATGAATCCTCGTCTTTGTACACAGTTTTAAGTACACCATGGTTAAGTTTGTCATTAGTTAATGATACCAAATTCTATAATTTACCAAAAATGTCAGTTTAACATAGTTAATATAAAATGTACAGTGAGCTGTATATTACATAGATAACAGAACAATAATTGTGCGCCTATATTATTTTAATACCTGAATAGCCAGCTCAACCAAACGCAGTATATCTGATACATTATCTGTATTGATTGCTTTTTCTCCAAATATAAGCACATCATCACATAGCTTAATCAATTGTGCTACACTTTGGTACACTTGATTTAAAGCAGATACGACTAGGGAACTTTGCTCATTAATATCGTATGATTTAAACACCCCACAGATTGTTGTTACTGTTTCTAAAACTACTGTACCATTTCCAGGTAACATTTCTAATTTATTTTTTGTTACTACATCAAGGAAATGTCTCAAGGCTATCTGAACCTAAAATATGAATTTTTTATATATAATATATAAGGTTATTTAATAAGTATAAATAAAACACTAATTAAGATAATTTCAATAAAAATAAATGGTATGATTAAAACTCACTTGTCTAACATGAAAGTCGATGTCATTAAGGGACCGTTTAGGACTACTTCCTGATGAAGCATGTCTTTGCTTTGGCAAACCATTTTTTGGCGAACCACTTCTGGAACTGATGGCGCTATGACTAGGCGATCGCATTGCAGATGATATAATATCCAATAAATCTTCTTTGAAGGAACGAGCTCGTCTTGCAAATTTATTACCACTACCAATGTTACTATTCCATTTTTTGTACTTTTCATCCGGGACAACTCCTTATAGCAAACAGTAAAAATTAATATCACATTTATAGTGTACATAAAATTATACACTTAAAGTACACTAACAATAACATAGATTTAATATTTTACACTTTACTACTATAGGACGGTATAGGTAGCTAATGTTATGTTATTACTTATTTGTGAACCATTGATGCAAGTACACAGACTACAGAGATAAAAAAATCTAAAAATAGAGCGTCTAACCTAAGTGAGTGGGGTACGACCGTACACACTACACAATATTATAGTATAGTACATGAATGAGTAATGACGAATGTGGAATGAATAGTACTGCTATTCACGTGCTGTCTCAGACTCAAGACATACAGTTTCATACCACATTCAAAGCAGCTCACTGCTTAGCCGAGCCTGTCGTGACATTTTAGTTTGCGCACTGTATTGATTACTATCTAAATTCTTTTACGTACCGATATACACATTTTAGTTTTAACTTTTGATAGAATCTAAGAAAATAGTTTTCAACATTTCATACTCGATGAATACGTGTATGGCGCACCGGCGCCTACGTAATTGGAAATAAGAAGTCGTTAAAACAATAAATTGTATAGTATTGTACCTACTTGTCCTACCTATTTGATTATTACGTCACGTCTACTATGGATTACGGTATCAATGATCAAGGTTATCCATACTTAGTCATTCGTTTTAATTTAATACAGATACAGGATGTACTTATAAGGTATAATATACCTAGGCACTAAATGAGTTACCAGGTTTGGACAGAATTCCGACGGATGTACATATTGTTCGAAACAAAACAATATTGATCGGTAAATATAAGTTAAGAGAATATTTTAAGCAAAATTTACTGTCAACAAATTTAATAGTAGCATTCAAATCATAATGCTTTATGGTGCTAGATAACTTTTTATCTCTTTTTCTTTTATTAAATAAAAATATTTACAGTCTGTACAGATAAAACTATTACAATTTACAATAAGCAAATATTATATATACAAAAATAAAATGGCATGAATGTCGTGTTGAGGAAGTAACCCATTAGTAACATCTCTTTGATAGGTACCTAGGTAACTTTTAAATATGTTATTTGTTGTTTTCATTATTAACAGAGATTTCTAGATTTATGTATTAATACATATTAATACTTACTAACGTACCATTTCCATTTGTAGTTTCTACCATACCTACTCACTTTTGACTATTGTCTTATATGTACGTAATTTTTTTAGAGCTTTTTTATTGTGCGATACATTTATAAGAGTGTACTTGGTAAACAGATAATAATAATATATAAGATTAACATAACATATAATAAACATATTTATTTATTATTTATACGACGTTCTATCCGGATACAGTGTTGACTCCCCCCTAGGCCTTTATTGACTGAACACAAAATTGGAACTGTCGTACGTAAATTTGCTATGTTGTTTGTTTTTTATTAATTGCAACAAGGAGACAATCAAAAAACACATGCAAAGTGTAACGTTCTATATGATTATTATGATTTATTATACCGGTGTTTATTTTAAATAAATTTTTCGATAAATTAGGTATGAATTTTATGATAATGATTAATTTAAAAATGTTAATTAAATATTAACGTGTTTCATTACATTCTTCAATTGATAGGTAAGTACTTATATTAACATAGAAATCAGTTTATCAAAAATAGATTTCCAAGAATACTTTTTTGTTATCTTCACTTATTTTTATAATAGTTAATAGGTTATACATTTAGGGCCCGGAAATCCGTACTATAATAACTACCGAAATAATCATGCTATTATTAAAATACAGCAAACATTTTGAAGAACTTTTAACATTTTTCGATATTGTAATCTTACTAATTGGGCACTTTTTTACGTGCTACCAATCGACAATACTTTTGATGCTGATTACGAGTACGCACAGAAATGTGAGGAAACAATGAGTTTAGAAGTTATAGACGTTTAAAGTTTGTGATATTATTAGTTATTACTATAATATGTAGCTATGGCGATACCTTTTTTTAACGATAATATTTAATTATTTGTTAATTTTACTGGATACGAGGTTCGAGCGGCGTCCACTGTTGCATCTGGCGTGCATGAATACTATACGTCTATAAGTCTATACTAAATTATACCTATATAGTACCAACTGTCTATAATAGTGTCTATTAGTGATTGGTCATTACTGCTGTATTTGTTACTCAGTAACGAATACTTTGGCGTAACCAGTGGCGGATTTAGGGAGTGCTTGGAAGCACCAACCGTTTCGTATATTGATTTTTTTTATTATAATTATATTAGATATCAGGTATCACGTAGAACTAAACATATTAACTGTAGACTACTAAAAAAATAGGTTAAATTTGTTTTTACCCCTAAGTTGTGTTGTAAGTTGTTCGTGATAAGTACCTAAAAAGCTTTATTATCAACATACCACTCACCATAAACAAATCTTAGATCCTTAGAATTTGTACGTATGGACGTTACACAATTATAGATAAATGTAAAAGATTGTCACTACAAATACCGAATATCTTTTATTTTTAAGTAGTTACTACCAATAATTTAATTTATATACTATATACCTATGTAACAAATGTAAAATATTTTATTATTACGAATGACTTTTTTTTCATTCCGCACGAACTCCGTAGTTCATAGTTTTTAGGACGCTCTACTTATAAATATTTAATAGCTCATATATAATATTATGTATATTTCAATTTTTTTTTTAAAAGTAACTAGTTTTATAAACGTTACATTGTTAAAAATGTATAACTGAACCGAATCAACGACTCCGGAAAAGTAACGGAAGTTCCCATTAATAGTATCAATAGGTACTCTCGAGTTTGGTGACTAGAGCTAGCAGGCATAAAGAGCAACTCCTTGTCATACTTTTACTGGCAAAGCTATTCACATACAAGTTACACCCGTTAAGTTAAACATCTACCCAAAGGGTAGGTTATTCACCGAACCCTCATCCAAAGAGATGAGTTCAAGGCCCCGAATTTTTCTACCGTAGCCGGCAGGAATAGGGAGAGACTACTTGTCACACTTTAATTGGCAAGGTTTTACACCTATATTATGCTACCCGTCTACTTTGGATGATTGACTCCCCCGATCACATTGTACAGAGAGTGCAGGTCTTTCAACAAATCGAGGGGATATTGTATAGTACTAGTAGTGCTTGTCACGCGGCGCGCATAATACTAAAATTGCATATTTTAATCAGCTGTAACCAATAAATTACTTGTTACCGCACATTTCTTTTTTTCATTTTTGTAATCAGTATCAAAAGTTCTGTCATTTCAAAATAATGTGCCCGTTAAGGTGCATTAAATATTAAATATATTACATGTTACTCCAGTAGTACCTAGTATAATACCAGACTAATTGACTGACACACTTTCTATAATATTCTCAAGTAGGTAGTCACAACTAAAAGTTAAAAAAAAATATTTTAAAGTGTATAAAAATAAGATATCAATTTTTGTTTTAATAATAATAGTTTTTAGATAATTTAGGGGAAGCTAAAATTACATACAACTGACGAGATTTTTGACTAAAAATAAAATAATGACCAAAATAACCATAATTTATTTTAAAAAATCCAACTCAATGCAATTTAAATTTATCAAAAAAAAAATATGCAAAATAAAAGCAAATATGTTTTAAGCTTAGAGTTGCCATCCGTTAGGGTTTTACGGGACAGTCCTGTTTTTAATACCTAATTCTGTCTTGCGTCCTGTCTTACTAAGAAATGGGACATACTTTATCCCGTATTCTATAATGCCTAGAACTCTAGAAGAATAAAAATAAAAAAAAAAATATGCTACCTAAATTATTATTGATCAGATAATATTTTTCGGGAAAATTAATTGAAACGAGAAGCATCTTTAGTAATTTTTCTTTCAACAAAAATTATTTCGACACTTTTAAAGATGATAACCCTATTTAATCTCCTTATGCAAATATTGCATTTGTAGATGGGTACATTTTAGATTTATTGTAAAAGCATGCAAGTAGCTAATAATGAACAAAAATCAATCAAACAATTTAATATTTTAATATGTGTATTTAAAATTTTTTTTTTATTGATAGCTTTAAGTGACAACTAATACAGCTCAACAATTATATAATTTTAAATTTTAATACAACAAGATGATGCACATTTATCTACTCAGATAGCATGTAAACATTAATTAAGATAACTAGTTAAAAAATATTCAACCAAGTTCTTTATAGTTTTCATATTTAATATTTAAATAATACATTAGAGGGAAAAGCAATGGGGGGAGGGGATAAGCACCTAAAACCAACCGGCTATGCTAATACTTGGAAGGCTGAAGACTACTAGCATAATTGTTATATTCCAAAAATGTACTGTAAAATTGCTGTTTTGCTACTGAATACTTTAAAAGACAATGTTGACGTTTAATTATACAATTAAAAACTATTTCTACATACGACCGTAATTTGAAATTTAAAATGGTTTTGCAAACATTTGATCATCTAATATTTTTTATAAATTTAGGAAAATTCAACTACTTATCTACCACAAAGTACTTATTTGAAAAATGTTAACTACATTAAAATGAACAACATGTTTGGTTAAAATCTAAAATTTACTATAGATGTAAAATACTAGCATTAAATGTAATTATTAATATTATCAAAAACATTTCTTTCTTGATATTAATATGTTGAAACTCTAGTTGTATAAAATAAATTTTTGTTGAGAATTTACAAATCTTTTATAGAGACAACACCAACTGTTCTAGTTCATAGGCGTGCGGACAGGAGATGCTGGGTATGCCATGGCATCTTTATCATAGTTTATGGTTGTAAATATTTTGATTAAAATGTAAACATTTTGGTTTTTACTTATAAAAATGAAGAATTGAGATGATATCTAATATCAATTAGATTGTGAATATAATACAGTACAGTTGCACTGAAATTATGGTTGTGATGCTCATCTTTTCTATAGATAGTAGATACCATAACCATGATGTTGGCATAATAGCTTGATTATGTATTTATGTGAAGTTTTCTATAGTTTACATTGTTTATAAGTTATAACACAATTTAAGATAGTATTATTGACGAGTTTAAGAATCTGCATCTTTGTGAGAGAAGATTAGAACTCTAATACTATTTATTTTATAATAAAAAATAATAACTAAAAGCTTTATGTATTATACATATATTTATGATGATTCCGGATTCGATACATTATAAATTATGTCCTTTGATCATTGCCTTTTTATTTATAATACACAGAGTTATTGGGGAGTGATTTTTTTTGTATTGGGTTAGGTATTTTTGAAAATATTGGCATCCCCTGCAAAAAAAGTCTGCGCCCGCCTATGTTCTAGTTTTCACAACTAATTGGATATCAAAATAAATATTTTTTAATGCTAATACATAGTCTCTTTTAAGTTAATTACAATTTAACCATAGTTGTGAGGTGTATGTTGTTACTTCTTAAGCGATAAATGATAATAGTACAAAATAAATAAATGAGCCAAATAAGCTGTCAAACTAAGATATATTATATTCACATAAAGAGAGGGTGGGGGCTTAGCCCCACCAAAATTACTCTAGCCCAGTAGCACAACTAGTAATAAATCTTGGGGGGGGGGGGGTACAGCCTCACCTTAATATTAAACCAAAGGTAACTATGATTATTTTACATTGAATTCAAAAATGTATAATATATTATTTGTTTTTTTAGGGGGGAGGGGGCTTAGCATTCCTATAGTTACAGTTATTAAGATAACATAATTTTCAAACTCGTATAAGATCAATTCAAAATAAAATTTCAAAGTAGAATGCTGCATGCTACACACAGATATTCCAGTGGCACCGCAATCAACATAACTCCATAAGTCAAAAGACATTTAGTGAGTCCATTTGTACTTTGATGTCAAATTTTATATTGATTTATTCATTCATGAATTACTCTTATTCAAATTAAAATTGTATTATGTACTTACATTTTTAAGAACTTGGTAAATTATCATATATCTGATTTTAAATTTGCTAAGGAAAGGTTAAAACAACTCTTGATCACTTTCTTAAGTAATCATAAAAGAAAGAGAAAACTAGAGTTAAAATGATTACTTTGTTATTTATTTTTTAAGTATACATGGGTGGGAACAAGCTCCAAAAAGTTACTTTTTAGGAAAATGTATTGAACTCTTTACTGCTTCAGCTCCTCTTCCTCCCTAAGATTTTTGGGACAGTTGTGCCACTGTATAATGATTATTCAAAACATTTTTGAACATTGTATATCTCATTTATTACATATTGCTGAGTGCTGACACATTTTATTATGTAATATATTTCAAATCGCCTCAAAAAAAAAAACAAGTATTAATAGATAAATTATAGACGAGTTGCATTTATTAAAAAAAAAAGTTGGTTGATATAAATATTTATTCAATTATTTAATAAATAAATAACTTTAAATTATGTTCAATAATTTTTCAAGACTTTATTTGGTAAACATAAGCATGCGTGTGCTCAACAAATCTACAATGTTTACATAATTCATTATTAATACTTACTACATTGTTCAATTTCATCATCTTTATCAGAATCATGTTTATTCGTCGAAGACATGTTGTTATAAACCAATCAAACGACGAAACAAACCATAACTGAATGTAATGCATTGTTGATCATGTTATGTGTCGTTTGCGTTCAACATGATCAATCAAATTACTGATAATCATTTTCAGTTTAATGAATTGAAATATAATTAAAATGAGTTAAAAAAATAACTAGTTTACAATAGGTATATTATATAGAAATGAAACTTTAACAAGGTAAAACTACTGTACTTACCATGGCTGATTAGGTTTAGACACTGAATGCTGACTGACTACTTGAACCAATCTGGTACAAAAACTATATTGTCCCATCATAAATTAGTGCCTTTGTACAGAAATTCATAATTCATAATATACTAACGCAAAAAGTATTAAGAATTAATCTTAATTCTGAATTATGTTTATGAAAAGTTGTGAAATTTGTTGGCGTTTAAAAACTTTTTATCACATCATTATCACTGTATCACATAATATTATTTTTGAGACCATGGTATGAGTTGCACAGAGTTTATAGTTATTATGTTTTATAAGGTATATACCGATATCGAAACACCTTGGTTCTATGGTAAGTTGTATTCGACAGATTTATGTGTGTTGTATTTTATGTTGATATCAAATGTTATCAAATTATCATGCAGTAAACTATAAAATAATTATAGTATAGTATGTATAATATACTACGTTGGTATAAACTTTAATACTATAATTTAGTCTGTTTATAGTTGAAAAAGTGGACGAAGAAAAAATTAATAGAATTTTATACTATTGTTTCGTGTAGACATTTAAAAATAATTCTTGTTTTGTATTTTATAGTTTTATTTTGTTTGCTTTTATACATTTTTAAAAAGAATCTTTACAATAATTACATATAACAATTAATAACTATCAATTTGTTAAAATTAAATTTAAAAATAAACAATTGATGCCGAACGAACACATTTTGCCTTCTTCCTGTCGCGTTTCATCAGGTAACAAATATCTGTTGTCTATTACTATTTAATAGTTAATTTATATTACCCATTGAGTCTATACAAAGAACTCCCAAGAAACTATTTATTTTATGTTGTACCTATAAGTTTTTACACAATATTGTAAACATTATTATTGATTTGTAAAATGACATAGTTTGTGGATGTGGGGTGAGACTGCTCCTACGAGTCTGTGCCCTGTTTGACATGAATTATTTTAGCAATACCTTACTTTACATTTAATTTGGATTTTTGGACTAAAGTTGTTTGTTGTCCTTACAAGTTAAAAAATGAAAAATACTACCATGTCTTCTAATGATAATAAAAACATATAATAGAAATGTAAAATTATTTATTGTCTTATGTAGTTTAAGATAGGCAATAAAGGTAAAATAAACTTTTTTACTGATAATAAATAATCAATCTTATTGATTAGTTTTATAGATTTATAATTTATAAAAAAAAGTTGGTAGTTGAGAAAATCATTAAATTATTGGATATAGTAAAGTCATCTATTATTGTAAGTACTGCTTCGGAAAGACAATTCTATCAATTAACAATATTTGATATTGATAATATTTTTTAGAATATTTCAGTATTTTTTGATAAAAATGATGGATATCTTTTTTATTGCACCCAGTCCAACGATATTTTATCTACAGAAATACCAATTTTGATTATTTTTTATACGTCTTTAAAAATAAGAAAAATGTAAGCTTTTTTAAGCAAATTATTTTATACTATTATTTGAAATAAAACAAAAAAATCGGAAATCGATATTCTTCTTTCAGCCAAATAAAAAGTTATCCAAATCCGACAATTCTACTGGTCAGGTTAAAAAAATGTTCCTGTAAAGTCATTTTTTTGATATAATACATCGTATCAACCCTATGTATCGGGCAGTCGATTGATGGAAATGTATTATATTTGAGATAGTAACTAAAATATAAAATACAATTGTCAAATTTGATGGAATTGCGGAAATTTTAAAGAACCGGCACCGGACCGCTAAATCGTTTTTTTTAAATTTGTGTTATAGAATAATTAGTAATTATCTACATATCTACGTATCTACATTATACACTCTACAGGATAGACATAATATTATAATGATTAAAGTTGATAATTTGATATACGATTTTGCAAAAAAAATGACATAATTGCCAATTATGAAGTGGCTACACTGAATAAACTCTATCGTGTGTAATGTTTTAAAAACGTAAAACATTGGGGACTATGTTTTTTTTTTATCGTAGCCGGTATATTATGTATAATGTATAGCTCTATAGCTGCAGTTAGCAGTTGTCAGTTTTAATATTTATTTTGAATAAATAAAAATAATAATAATCATATGAAACGTTTAAGACAATCCTTCAATTTTTAGTTTTCGATAGAGACTGTGCATTTAAATAATGTTTATGTTTTTCAGTTTTTGTATCCGTCAAAATAATATGCATATTATATTATTATAAATATATGTACTTATATATATTATTTTTTTCTTTTAAATCGAGTCTTAACATATAAGTAATGTCAAAATTAGATCAAAGCGATATTTCTACTTTGCCTTGGTATTATGACGAATATGGTAAGCATTTTATTTTTACTTTTACAAGAAATATTGTTTATAGACCTTAGAGTAATCATCTATTTTTTTTTCACTAATCTGATAAATTGGAATATACCAATTTAGCCTAATAATATTTGGTATTTATTATGGATTTTTGAGAATTATATAATTTACTGTCCTAAATATAGGATTTTGCTGTTTTATATGTATTGATGAATAATTTACGAAAAGATTTAATTTAGCATTTTAATTTTACTCTTATGTACAAATATAGGAAGTAATTTTCGTATTGAATAAAAATGTAAAATTATTGAACAATTAATTGTATACTCAATGGTGTTCATTGTTCATATTTATACTTTCGTAACTTATATTAATAAATTCATAAAATATCCCACTCATGTAAAACCGACGAATAATTATATTTTTTGCGAAGTTCAATATTTCAATGTAACTATTTTCTTTCTAAGATTTTTTTATTAAGTCGTATATTGTATATTTTTTTAATAAATTGTATGATAAACGATAATATTCAATTTTTAATTTTTAAATAAATTATAGGCGTCGATTAATGATAAAATTCAGTTTTTAGATTTTAAATTCAAAATGAATAAACTGCCGCTCATATTTTTCCGAGTTTAGTGATACTACAGTAATGCTGTGTTCCTCGTGCCACTGGCTTGTATCCGGATTTATATAGGATCATTGACCTGTATATACAATATTATCTCGAGTTCAAGGACATTACTTGTAATGTATTTACTACACTTTTAAACATTTTTTATTCCATGAATTTGCAATACAATTCGTACATTTAGGTAAACCTAGACTTGTTAATTTTTTTTCATTTTTAAATGCATTTGAAACTTAATTGGATATAATAAGTAGGCAATAATTGGGATTCTACTTGCTATTTATGTGTACTACGTATGATGTATCAAGAAATTTACCGTGTTTATTTATAGTAATTAAATTATATAAATTAATAAGAACTAAGAATCAGATAGAATGTGTAGGTTTGTTATTCACTTGAAATTGATGATAGGTAATTAGTAAGCAATAATTTATTGATGCATCTTTTGGAACATTTGCACTTTAGTAAACCTAACGGATTTTTAAAATTTTTTTTGAAACATGTTCTTTGACGAGTTAAGAACGATAGTTCAAAACAAAATTGCGCAAAGTATTATTTTAGAAATTAGATCTTCTCTAAGTTTGCGATTTTACGTTTTTACGCATACGCACAATACTGTACTTTACTGCAGCGTGCTGCGCCTATAACGAATTTTGATATTTTTTTACGTAACTGTCATGGTGGTGAACCAGTTTAAATGTCAGCGAATCATCTTTTTTTTTGAATATCTACAGTAGCTTATATCAGAAATCTATTTTTTAGAACTATTGTCTTTATTTTAACTATACCTCCTCTTCCTCCCTAGAACTTTATAAATTGTTCATAAACTTTATGAATAATGTATAATCTAAACTTCTGGTAGATGGGTAACCAGTTAAATAAAAAGTATAGTAGCTCCAGTCACCGGAATTTCAACATTAAAAAATGAAAATAAAATATCTTAGATACCTCATTTGTAGCGCCATCGTTTACAGACTAAATTTAAAAATCAAAACTTTAAAATATTGATTTAAACAGAAATTATTTCATTTGTCATGTCTTTCTGCTAAGCGTTGTATGAATATATTTAGTGAGAATTATTTATTGTCTGCAGTTATTTCTTAATGAATTATACAAAAATTGGGGATCTGCAAATATTCCCGTTTCCTTCTAATTTTTGATTAATTCTTCTCGATTGTTTTACCCAATTATTCTAAAAAGTATACTTTTGACCACGCTTAAAGTTGAAGATTGATGAATTTTTTCTGCTTAAAAATATATATGCCAAGACACAAAAATAAAGGACATCACCCTGCTGTGTAGTTGGTGTATGCCTTATTTGAGTAGGTCACTGACCACTGTGGCCACCATAATAGATGTTTTAAATCATTGCATACAAAAAAAACTATTCTGATTGAAGATGGTCTGTCACCCTATTTTTTATTACTCAGTATATATTGTGATATATTTATAGTGTTATTAAAGTTTTACCCATACTTAGGTAGGTAGTATAATTTGTTTTTTTTTTTATTATTATTGGTTAAGCATCAACTACATAGGTTATTATCTTCCAGGTGTTAATTTCTACATTAAATAATTATATGTTGTTGTACAATTCAATTTTTTTAAGTATAAAATTACGCTATGAAAGTTTGAAAATGGACCAATTGCTTCGTATAGGTTGTCTGGGTTGCTATATAATTTGTTTTACTATTAGTAATATGGTAGGTTAAATTAATTGTTGCTAAAAACTTTGCAAATTTCATTAAATTGTTTGATTATTATTTATTATGATAGTACATGACGTAAAATTCTCAAATTCCCATGAATGATATTTTTCAATAACAACAAAATAACTTAAAATTGTTATTCTTTATTTAGATATCATCCAAATTTGAACTTAAAATAATAATATTTATCTATTTTTTAGATATTTTGGTTTCAGTATGAACTATTTTTGGGAAACCTTGTATTAGATTTTCAAACCTTAGGTATACAAATTGAAGATTTTTTAAATTGTTTACTATATACAAAACAGTTTTTAAACAGTAATTTTGTCAATATTTGAATTTTAAATGCTTATAAAAATGTTCAAATGTATTGCAACATACATATAATATTGATCCTTTAGTTACAAACTTTATAAACTTTACTTATAATTTGCGAGTGTATTTATTTCTTTATAACTTTTTTCAATTCAAACACTGAATTACAACACTAAAAGTGTAGGAAAGTAGATTCCACTTGTAATGTGTTATATTAAAATAATAACCATAAAAGTAAAATAAAAATTGTACACAGTTTGATTGAGTCATTACTATGTAAAAATGGCTTAATTTAAAGGATCTTAAAATGTTTTAAAAAATAATTAGGAGCTATCATAACTTAATTATTTATAAACCTCTTTATTCTTTATTAGGTATGTAATTTTAAACATATTTTTAAAATCTATTTAATACTTATTAATTATTAATTAATGTGTATTAATAAACTGGTTACTGATACATAATATCATTGATAATAAGTAATAATTAATAAGCTGTGCAAAAAAAAATTACTTTAAAGACTAAAATTAAAATTGTATTTACATCTTTTTTTAGAAATGATGGATGTATTGGTCGAACCTAAAGATGAACTATTTGAGGTAAGGCTTATATTATGATAATGAATTAATACTGAATGAACATTTTATTTGCCATGCATTATTAATAATTGTTATTAAGGGAATGTTGTACCCGCATGTGTCGTCTCCGTCTTACACACGTACTATATAGCTCATTTTCTTTCACCAGATTCAATAGTGTGTTGTTAGTTTTTTTTTTTGTATTGTTAGTTTTGATATTAGGGTGAATTGACCTTAATTTAAAAGTAAGATTATTATTTAGAGCCCTGCTTATCCTTTTATTGATATTATTTTTAAGTTAGTTATGATCATTTTAAAATGTTTCAAGAAGGTTATAACTTACTTAAAAATAATAATGTCAATAAAAGCTTATGTGGGGCCCTAGATAATAATCTTACCTTCAAATTTTATTATAGGTCAATTCACTCTAATATCAAAACTAACTATTGAATCTGGTGAACGAAAATGTGGTATGTCATATGTGTGTAATACGCAGACAACGCATGCTGGTCGACATCCTCTTAACTAAAACGTATTTTTTATTTTAGTTTGATGAGCTTAAAATGGAACCATTGTCGCCTTATTTTGGAGATGATATTAAATTTAATACAGGAGTTAGTGATCTAGATACTGATCACATGATGCAATGGAACATTGAATCATGTTTTGGAAATGGTAATATTGTTTCAAATATATTTTCATCTGTAGAATAATTTATTTCTTCAATTTAGATATTGATTTGGAAAAAAATTATACATCACCTCCATCATCTCCTTCTTCAAATGGGTCAATGCCAAGTGGTGATTCACAATCATCATTTGACTCAAACCAAGTATTTGCTTTAATATATTTATTATGTTTAAGTATATTTTATTAAATAATTTTCTTGACTTTGTTATTGCTTAAATAGGTATTACCGAGAATAATATTACCAAATGTGGATACAATTCGTGATAATAATACTGTAATTGCTCTAAAATCTACGAGTGGAATTCAAACACTTCCAAAATTGAAAATATCTCCAGCGCCAATTAAACCAATTTTAAATGCAGCTTCTAGAACTAATATTTTAATAAATAATAATTGTAAATTATATTTTGACAAATTATTTTTAAAGTTGTTTTTTTTATAGTGTTTTTAATTTTGATATTTTATTGCATTTATTAGTTAATGTTTCTTCAATGCTGACTGATCAAACAAATCAATCTTCAGTTGCAATTTCAAAATCATTTGGTAATTAGTATTATAAAAACTGTATTAGGACAAAAAGTCCACTGACATTTAGTCTTAAAATTAAGCTCTAATTATAGGTAATATTTTATCACTTTAAATAAACTACTCCAGAATAAGTTAAAATATCCATTTACTTCAAAAACCCTTGTAAGATACATCACGAGGTAAAAAAAAATGTTTTATTTATACTTGGGGGGCCAAATTAAATTTTTTATTTCACATATATCATGTAATACTGATCAATACCTAGTGGCTAAATGTCAGATTTATTATGAAAACATAAATTATATTTTTAAATACAGTTGATTTTTAAAATTTTAGCAAAGACTTTCCCACGAAAGATAATACTAACTCCAGATCAATTTTCAAAAATAACCAAATTCAGAAAACAAAGACAGGTTGATTTAAATATGCCAGCTGCAGTACCATTAGTAACAAGTACTACGGAAGTAAATACTCAATTGACATTGCCAGCAGTTGAGATTGATTTGGCAAAGTCTAAAAATTCTACTACTACTTTGCAATATAATCAAGTAAAAATTTTATTATTTATTTTTTATTAATTATCCTGCTGCAACATAAGCCATTGGGTACTATTAGTTATTGTAAGAAGTTAAGGTAAAGTTGGTACGGTTGTTAGAAACTCGTGTATATGTAGCAAAGTGTTTGCCACTAGAAACTAGTGGCAGTGGATGGTTACATACTCTCAAACCCATCGCGTGACCGATTGGAACAACCACGCCACAATAAGCCACATATAAACAAATTATATTTAATTTACTAATTATTAACATTATGTATTATATGTATTGATTAGTTAAGTGCAATAAAACGACATCAACGCATGATACGAAATCGAGAAGCAGCAAGTTTATCTCGTAAAAAGAAAAAAGAATACGTAACATCATTAGAAGAAAAAATAACTATATTGGAAAAAGAAAATTTGGAACTGAAAATTGTTAGTCAATTAAACACATTTTCAGCTTAGTAGTACACAAGTATTTACAATTAATTTTATTAAAACAATATTCCTTTCTATTTAGGAAAATTCAGCATTGAAGGAAAGGCTCAAAATTTTTGACAAATTATCTTCAATAACAGACAGACCTATTCTCAAAAAAGCAAAAAAAGCTACAGCTATATTATCAGTAGTTTTAATGATTTCCTTAAATATTGTACCTTCAGGGTAATTACTGATGACCTATATTAACATTTTTAATTTAAATAATTTTTAAAATAATTTTACTTTCTTAGGCTTTTCAATACAAGACAATTTAACAAATCAGAAATGCAAATGAATCTTGGGAAAAATTACAGAATAAAAAATATTGAAAATATAAACTTTCATAGCAGAAATCTATTATGGGTCAGTGATTTTGAAGACACTAATTCGTCATTGAATGCTACTGAACAATTGATGTGCCCAACATTTATAAATGTATCTGAATCAAAAAGGTTGGTACAATTTATTATTTTACTAAAGTAGATTATAAATATTTTTGAACTTAAGATGTTTAGCTTTTATAAAGTATGTTAATATTTACAAAATGTAGACAAATCTCACTCTTCTTACAGTAGTTTCCGAACATGTCATTGTAATGGATGTGTTATATTTTAATTCAATAATAAATCATTGCAAATGATTCTCAACAGAGAATTAAAACAAATACAAGTTGTGTCCTCCTATAAAATTTATATGGGGGACGAGGTGACCGAGTGGTCTGACTCTTCCGCTGCGACTCAGACGGTCGCGGTTCGATCCTCGGCCACCGGGCGGCATTTTTCTCCGGACAAGTCGCGGTGACCGGAGAGCAAGTGCTGCCATCCCCCACCTCCGGGGCATGGCAGAAACCTACGGGTGCCCCATTCGAAATTCTGCCAAAAACAAACACACACGTGTTCCCCCCTACCGTACCAAAAACATACAAACCATCAATACAAAAACCTACAGTACCTACTAATAGCTAATGGCCACAGTTGCCGGGCTCAGGATCAATTAAAAAAAAAAGTTTATAAATTATATAATATTATAGTATTTATAAAGAAACAAATCAATAAACAAACCTTTTATGCCGCATTTTGTACATGAGTTATGTATACCTACATGTTATGTATTTTACGAGCATTCAAAATCCGTAATGGTTTTCTTAGCAATATAAAGGCTTCGTGAATAAAAAAAGTTCGAGGACTGCTGCTATACACTGCATATATTAGGAAAATATCAGAAACGTCAAACGGTGGTGTGGGGCGAAATCCCTCACTTCAGTGTACATGAATAAATGCCTAATTCCCTTCCTTAAATAATTCTTAAATACGCCACTAACCCTAGGTGAATGCAAACTTAAGACGTTCAGAAATTCTCATTAGTTTCGTAAGTTTTGATTAACACCTGCTTCACGATGGACGATTATCATATGAGCATAAAGTTCAATTGCGCATTACTAAACTTACTGGATAACAAAATTTATTGTGGTCCGTTGAAAGGGTTGTTTCGATTTTTTTTTTTTACTTTGAAGTGAGTAAAGAACATTTTGATAAAGTAATATAACGTAAACGTAGGTAATAAGGTAATAACACTAATAACGCACTTGTAACTAGTTTAAAATAAAAATATAAATTCAATGAATAAAATCCTGCCACAAAAAATGTATGTATTACCTCGAATGAAGTTTGATAAAAGATAAATTCACTCTAATATTAACTGATGGAGGTACCNTAAATTACTATGTCAAGCGTGTGTAAGACAAAAACAGAAAATGACGGTATCGAATCCCCTTAACACTGAATATCAAATGTCTTAAAAATTTTAAATTCAATCACTCAAAAAGTTAATGTTACTTTCCAGTAAACTTTTGTTTAAGAAGAGATACATTTGTGGGGAATCTTTAATTCAAAATTTCTAATGTATTTTATTTTTTTTTATTAGCTTTTAGTATACTATTACAATTTACAACTCAATAATTATGTATACAACATAACTAATTTTACGATAAAATATATTATACTAGAAAAATACAAAACAAAAATAATTTATGGAAAAAAATGTTTTATGAATTTCTAACTGAGAAAAATCATACCTATGGATTTTTAATATTTTGTAACTTATATAAAAAAATTTATGAAGAACCTTGCTTTAAATTTTAAAGTTTTTTTACTAAGTGAAAAAGTTTTTATCCAGAATAATTTTAAAACCTTAAAAAATTCTAAAAATGTCTCAAGGCTATAAATATCTCAAAAAGAGTCAATATATTTAAAAAAATGTTATCATTTAAGGAAAGTGTTGTTCATATAAATATTCGGTGAAAATTTTGAGTGTACTTTTTGAGTTACAACAAAAATATTTTTTTCTCTTTTTTTGTTCAATAACTAATGAGAATATTCAATTTTGACCTCTTGAACGTTCTAACTAGATTCACTTTTCTATTAAAAAAAATGCTGTTGTCAAGAATGAGACTTCAATTTTACTATCCCTTATGTTGACGACAGACAGAAAAATAAAAAAATAAATCATTGTAAAATCAATACATTCATAGCTTTGCACAGAATCTAAAATACGGTGTATATTGGTATATATTTGGTATTTGTTTCCCAAATTATTAAAAGACTAATTTTCATTTATTATATTTTGTTGTTGGGTTGGGTACCTATTTGATAAAACTTTTTAAATATATAGTTATAAAATAGTACAAACATTTTTTAATTAATTTACTTTTCATTGTGTTTATACTCATAGTTGTTAGTTAGTTAAGTATCTTAGTTGGAAGCAAAGTAATCATCTGTTTTTTTTAATTTCAGAATTGATAGTGAACTTCGAAAATGGATTGAACCAAAGAATTTAAAGTTATTAAATGATAATTTATCAATGGTTTATGTTGAACCACCAATTATAAGCACTACTATTGAACATTCCAAACATAATGAATTTACTAGAAACAAAGATAAAAAAATGGAAAAATTGCAAAAAAGAAATTTTAAGTGAGTGCATAACATTTTAAGTAAATTACCCATGGCAAAATTCTGGTTTTAATTATAATATTTTTAAAATCATAGAAAAAGAAAGCATGTTCCATCTAACAATGATTTCATAGAAATATTTGATCAGTTGAAGTTAGATAGTAAAGAAAGCTTATTTGACTCCATTGAAAGGCAAGATGATACATTCTATGTTGTATCTTTTTCTGGTGATCATTTATTGTTACCAGCTAGTCATAATGCTTCTAATACTACCCTTCGTCCAAAGATGTCACTTGTTTTTCCAACTTTATCATCAAATGGTAATAACTAATCTATAAAATTACATATTGTAATAGATTTAATGTGTTTTAAACATAAATATTAATTTGATACTTACATGTAACTTTTTATAGGTTCGGATTTTGTCACTATGATTCAAATTGATTGTGCAGTAACTGATACAAAAACATTACATATTCGAGACTCTCACTTAAGACATAATAATGATTTTAAAAATAATGTTTCAACAAACATAAAACAACACCAGGGTATTAAATTATTTTTATAAAAAAATTGTATCTAACAAATAATTTTTACTAAAGATATTTTAATGTTTTTACAGACCATAGAAACAATATACCACATAAGCCCTATTTTGTACGCCAAAGTTACTCTGGTTCAATGTTTAGCAAAATGAATCATGAACTTCCAAGTTACTAACATTTCAATGTATTTTAAATTCAGAAATCACATCTCAAGAATTTTCTTTTATAATTGAATGCAAATTTTTTCCTTATAAGCATATCTACTAAATCATATTATAAAAATAATATGAATTTTTATGTTTACTATTTCCTACGAAAAATGGCATTCAATTGGAAAGTTAAACTAATGATGTATGATCTAATTTACTTATTTTTAAATGTGTACCTTATTCATAACTGAGTATATCATATGCAGTAAAATATAAAAATATAATTTTTAATATATATATGTATCTTAAAATGAATTAAATAGAATTTTTTTATCGAGATTTTTTAAACTTAAATGTAGATAATTCATCATACAGAGTTTGATTTTTATACAGCTGATTCATAATAACTTAAAGTTTTTTCAATTCCTTAGATATTTTTATTATAATCAATGATTTAATTGTTTTATCTTGAAAATTAAAACTTATAAATATCCTAGTCAAACTAGCCCACTGTAGAATTTATAATTGTTATTATTAAGGCTGGGATTTCAGTGCATTATTTTCTGATGCTAGCTATCCGATGCTCTTTCTTTAACAAACACATTTGAAAAATAATGATAATTTATGTATAATTTAATATAAATAAGTATATTTCCAGATTAATGAAGTACAAAACAATCAGTTCTATCTGTTAAACTTTTTTACAATTCTGATACCTTAAACATGTATATTGTTGTTCAAACCATAATTGTATTATAAATTATATCAAAATAGCTATAAATTAAAAATATTAGTACATTTTTTTTGTGCATAATACATGTTTTTTAGGGCATTTAAATGATTTTAATAAAATCCCTAGTTATGCCTAGTTATAATAGTATTGTTTTGTAATCTGAATTTCCTGGATAATATTAGACACTTTAAATTTTGGTGATCTTAGTAATTATTTCAACTAATCAAAACTAAATTTATTAAATACAATGATTATTGCTTTCTTATTTGATCATACTCCAATCCTACCAGTATTAAAAAAAAACGTACATATAATATGTTTGATAAATATTCTTTTTTATTTATATCATTCAAATTTAGATTGGTTAATTTGTTTATATTTTTTATCTTCAACTTTGAGTTCTTAAGATTATTGTACTATTATATAGCATAGACATTAATAATAATAAACTAATAGTTAAACTGATAGTTATTATTTTATAATCGCATCATCTGGTGTAGATATTAAATGTAAATTATTTGTGTAGATTTGTGGTAGGTATATTATTTAACACATTACCTGATAAACTATCATTAATTATTAATGTTATTATTAATCTTGATTGTATAATGTACTATTAAAAATAAAATGTATTAGAAAATATTAAATGATAGATTGGTTTGTACTTATATATTATTCCTAAGTTTTATTAGATATTACTATACACAAGCAATAATTTACTATGAATTGATTTAACTCATTTTTACAAATATATTATGATCAAAATAATATAGGTAACCAAGGTTGTTTTATTTTATATTTTTATTTATGTTAGAACAATTTTGTTTATGTATTTATTTAATGGTTCCTCAAAAAAATTTGGTATCTTTATTTATTTTGTTTTGGTTGTAAGTGAGATTTAATTATATTTATTATTATAATTTTTTTTTTCTCTTAAATGTTATAAAATAGTATAATATTAGTGTGATTTTTGTTTTGTATGTACTTTATATAAATAAATGAAACATTTTATACATATAATTTTAATATTAAATTGGTTTGATCCTGTGGCTGTCTTACTTTCACGGGGGCATAGGTGTATTAATGAACAGCTGTAAAAATTTCCTATGAAAAAAAGTCGAAAAACTAGATAATTAAGGTGAAAGTAATAGTAATTGGTTAGTACATGCAGCTAAAAGCTGTAACAGTTCAGTGGCTAAAAGTCAAGCAGTGTTCAAGCCCAAACAATTTTGCGATATTAGTACCTACAAGATTTTTTATTAATTTCGTCAGATAAATCATTTAGTTTGGTACAATTTTTATTAATACTAATTGGAAGTTTGATTTTGCATCACTTTGTATTTTTAAGTTTACCTAATTATGTATACCAGACTTTTTCATCCCTAACTTTTTTATCGATAATTTTTTCACCTCGACTTTTTGCTAGTATCGGTACCATTATAATTATGATTTCGGATTTAGAGTTTAAACTTAAACCAGACTGTACTCGGGGCAGAATATGCTATTTTAGTATTCAAGGCAACAATAGTATAAAAGTACAAAAATATTTTCATACATATTTGCACGTTTGTAAGACGAATAACATGAATCTAGACATATCTAGAAAGCCAGGAAATAATGTTTAAAAATGTCACTTCACGTTCCATGCCGTCCACACCATATGAGGCCCGCATAATGCATTTAAAAAGAAGTTAGGAAATAGTTGTTTTTAAGTTGCTACAAGGAAAACTTATGAGGAACAGCTTGTATTAAATTTTGATTTTTTTTTGATCAAACTTCGTAGGAAAAAAGGTCGACTAGTGGGTAGGACCGCGCTACTCTCTACTGCACAGTCGAGTAGTATGTCGCTGTGATTAATTTTAATTTAATTTAATTGTTGAGCTGTAATAGCTTAGTACTGAAAGCTATATGAGAAAAAAAATTAAAAAAAAATCAATTTGAAATGAATGCAGGACGACATAACATTGCATACGATAAATGATTATGAACAGATATCGTCTGTCAACCTATGTCAATAGTATATAGGTAGGTACTATATTTCACGTTTTTCGATACCTATTGCTATTAGAGGAACTTATTTTACTAGTATTAATTTTTGCGAAAAAAATATGTTTATATTTTATTGTATTTATTAATGTTTAATTATTATAATGGTGTATATTAATCGTTATTAATATTGTTGAGTCAATACCAGTCACCACCATTATACCCAGTTTATAAATCAGTTTGAATAGATTCATGATATAAATAGTTATACCTACCTACCTAATCTAAATGTTTTGAAAATATCATCGCACACATACATATTGCATTTACATATTATATTAAAATTTATAATTTTATAAGACACCGCGATGTTTTTGGAATATTCTATAAAATAACGAATATCGTTTTTTTCGTTTAAATGGATAGGTTAGGTTAAACCTTCAACTGTATTTATGTATTTTTTGATCACTGTACCTGTACGAACCATGGGTAGGTACTTCAGAAGAACCAACCTTGTTTTACATTTTCAATTTTTCGCTATAAAAATTAAACGTTTTATAATTTCTCAAAAAAAAAAAAAAAATGTTGTATCTAATATGCTCCTGACTCACCTGAGTCCCGAAAGCAGATATTCATATACATAAAACTATATACCTATACTTGTTTAGGTATGTGGTATTCAGAAAAAAGCCAAAAGGCCCCACAAAAAATTATCTTTAATTAGATACATTTAATAATTTGAATCTTTGTGACAGTAATCTGTAAGTAAATTATAATTGAATGTATATTTTTTTAACACGTTGCAGCGTGGATTATTTCCAATAAATATAGAGTAAATGGCATTTTACTTAATATGTTTACAATGGCGAAGGTACCTACTATATTATAATTGGATAAATATATTTTATGATTATTGATTACCCAATGAAAAACAATGTGTAGCATACTTAACTATTTTTATAAAATAATGTTAAAATTATACAAAATTAATCTAAATTCAAATATCAAATCAAAAAGTATATTATATTATGCCATATTTCATTTAACAGTCTACTAACTAGGTACCTACGTACACATATTCAAATAAATACGATGTAAAAGAACAAATACCTATAGGTACCTATATAATTATATTAAACTTATTTAAAGCATAGAACATTACATGTTAAAATAATTAATAAATAAGATCAATAATTAGAGGTTTGAAGGTTTGTGTTTGTTGGTAAGGGGCGAAGGGGCTTTTTTCCCGGGGACTTTATTTCGGCTCTTTTTTTCCCAAATTAATTTTTATAAAATCACAAGCATAACTATGTGACAACTCAAAACTCATAATAAACATTGATTGTTGCATGATCAACCAACTGGGTAACTAGTAAATAAAACTTAGTAAATAGGTACCTATAATGGTTTATTGTACATAATATCGGTGTCGTAGAAGTATAGAAGATAGAATCATTGATTTGTATTCCATATCATAACTGTTCAACTATCTAATTCTAATAGACGGTAGAGTACTAGCACGAACCAAGATATATATTATCTTCTTGGTTCACGAGAACTAGACAGTAGGTACCTAGGTACCATATCCACGAGCGGACCATATTATGCAAATTGATCGATCATCGATGATTGCGCAAAGTCCCGTTGTTTAATAGGTATATAAATGTGTGGGTATATAATTCACAGAGAAATAATATAACCGGCTTGATTTAAACCTTTAAAGGTTTTTAACGACAGCGAAATCCGCTCGTAGAAATTCGCAGAGAATATTGCCGTGTATAGCCCAATAGCCCTGCCCTAAGCCCCAGTCTTAATCGTGTCGCGACATGAATCCACAGAATTATCCTGCGACGAGGCTACGGACAGTATGAACTGAGATATTATACATATCTGCAACCGTAGGTAAGTTGTGCAATGAAGGCTAGGTATATACCTAGAATATTAAATTATAATAATATAATACCTACACACAATATTTTATGATTTTTTCTAGTTCGTAGTTCCTGCTCGTGGACAAACATGAAGTTTCTTATCTTATTGTATGTAGGTGTTTCTTATCAGTTTTCAAGACATAATTTTTATCATCAATTTTAATTCTGAAAATTTAATTTTAAAATGACTACTCCAAGATCAAAATCTCCTAAACCACAGAATTCATTTAGGAAAGATGATAGCAAAGACGAGACAACATTTTGGGACAAAATTGGGACGTTAGGACGTAAAAAGCGAATAAAGGAAGGTAAGCACTTCAACGTTACCTTATATGGTCATCACCAGTGCCCGAGACATATAGGCTTGTAGCACTAGAAAATTATGAAATTGGTATGCGCCTTTTAATAAATGTAAAGTATGCTCTATAATACATGGGAGGGTAAGGGCTATAAAAAAGTCCTAAGAAATAAGAATAATTTCGTGAAATTTAGAATATAAGACTATATTAACAAATTAAGCTCTACTTCCTGGAGTGACTTAAATTCATTTGTTTATTTAAGGTTTTAATATTATGGAAATAAATTAACTTACAATTGGCATTTCACACATAAGTTTGAAATAGTTCATACTAAATATCACACATCCCTAATTTGCATCGGCCCAGGTAGCTTCTACTGTTATATGCTCTTTAAGTCATAAAATATTATGCTGTATAAAATTAAAATTAGATAGGATATAATAAATGCAATAATCACTTTCATAAAAGCATATTATCGGGATAATTTTATCTATAAACATAGTGTGACTCGGTGCCGCTTACCAACTCAGTTTGGGTAAGCAGCGATCTCCAAGATCGAAAAGTTAATTTTATTTCTGTTAAATAGGAATTTGGTCCAACATTTGCACATAAACATCATATGCAATGCACATGTCATATAAGTATATAATTTATTGTTTTCAGATTAATAAATAGTTTGTAGAATAGTCGTTAAAATAGCAGACTAAATGCAGACATATGCATTCATATATTTTGGAATTTAATTCCTTTTGGTATAAAATTGTTTGATTTACTATAGGTCTATAGCCTACACTGATTTATTCGAATGTACTAGAAAGAAATAATGTTAGAAGTATTGAGCTCTAGTCATAAATTAGTCATTTCTGTATTTGTGGAATAATATTAACTTTACATTGTTACAGTGCAAGAAGTTCAGGAAGAGGGTAAATATGCTATCGACTCACCAGGCAATCCGGCTATGGCTGATGTTCCTCCTGAAGAATATACCCTTGGTACTTTATTATTTTATACCTACTCAAGACTTACAAAGAGAAAGATAATGGCTTAATTATTTGTATTACTTAATATTTTAGAGGAAAATGAAGAAAGAACTATGGTGGAACCAAAGTCCTATTCTGATCCTAAATTACAAGAGCTAATGAACATATTAATTGACTGGGTAAATGATGTGTTAGCTGATCATCGAATTATCGTTAAAAATCTAGAACAAGATCTGTATGACGGACAAGTTTTACAAAAACTATATGGTAAATAAATGAATGTAACTTTAGTATTAAGGAATTTAATAAAAATAAACTAAATAAGAAAAATATTATATTTTTTATTATTATTACAGTATTAGTATTGATTTTATAATAGATAGATAATCCATGCAGTACACATATGTGGCCTGGGCAAGATTAAAGGTTGTTCTTACAATATCCGATTAAGTATTCTGGTGGTTAGTCTAATATTTAATCGATAGTCAGTTCTTACCAACAGAAATATCATTTGGTAAGAAGTATATGAGACTAACCAGTGGTTAGTGTTAACGAACACTTAACCTGACATTGTAAGAACGGTTCTAAATCTATTCTGTGGCATTATTTAAAATTTATCTTTATTATAGTTCATAAATATACGTTATTTGTGTATCTATGTAATTTGTTTGATATTTATTAATTATACAAAAATACAATGTTATGATTAAATTTTTATTGATATATTTGTTTCAATTAATGTTAATTTTTTTAGAAAAATTGACTAACGAAAAGTTGGATGTTCCTGAAGTAACTCAATCCGAGGAAGGGCAAAAACAAAAATTGTATGTTGTTCTTGGATCTGTAAATAACGTGAGTAAATGTTGAAATGTAAATCCATTTTGATTAAAAGTTTAGAACTCATTTAGATTAATTTTATGTTTCTAGATCTTGGGTCTGACAGGTAATAGATTATCGCAACAAAAGTGGAGTGTTGAAAGTGTTCATTCTAAAAACCTTGTAGCCATTTTGCATTTGTTGGTATCACTAGCTCGTCATTTTCGAGCTCCAATTCGTCTTCCTGAAAATGTCACTGTCAATGTAGTGATTGTACAGGTGTTTTAAAAATAAATTTATATATATGAATAGTATTGTGCATCAGTGCATCACTATGATTCATTTGTCTAAACCATAAATAATATTCATATAGAAACGTGATGGAGTTTTGAAGAATCGAACTGTAATTGAAGAGATCACATCCAGGTACGATGATCTTGGTATGAGATGTGAGCGTGATGCTTTTGATACATTGTTTGATCATGCACCTGACAAATTAGAAGTGGTTAAAAAAGTATAAAATAATAAATTATTTTTTAATCTTGTTTTTTATTTTTTTTAATTATTTGTATTTTACAGTCTTTGGTGACTTTTGTTAACAAACATTTGAACAAGATTAATATGGAAGTTCAAGATTTAGACACACAATTCCATGATGGTGTTTACTTGACATTATTAATGGGATTACTTGAAGGGTTTTTTGTGCCACTATATTCATTTAATTTGTCACCTCAAAATTTTGAACAGAAAGTACATAATGTCAATGTGGCATTTGATTTAATGCAAGAAATTGGACTAGCTGCGCCTAAAGCTAGACCGGAAGGTAAAATATTTTATTTCTTAAAGGTTAAATAAATAGATTTTTATTTAATTGTTTAGAGCAATGGGGGTTTCTAACCTTTTTTATGGTGGGCCAAATCTGTGATACTAGGAAAACATTTTTAGATAGAGATTGAGAGGTTATTAAATTTAAAATATACAATAATATAATTAGTAATTAATATATTACAATCAATAAAAATTAATATATTTTCAAAACGTCAATTAGTTTGATGGTCCAGAACTGGCCCATGGGTTGTAAGTTGGATTCCTGTTCAGGGTATTAAAAATGAACTACATTCCCATTTTTAAATATTTTAAATTTCTGAAATTTTAAGTTTTTAAAGTCAAATTTTGGAAAAGTTGAGAGTTAAAGTAAAAAAATACAGATCTATTTTGAGAAATATTCGGTGACCGGTCAAAATATCTGACAAAATATCTAGACCAGTGGTTCTCAACTGGTGTACTGCGAGTCATACTTGTATAGGAGCCTGGCAATAACTAATGTTGCTGTGGTTGTCAAGCGGGTTAGTGTGCCGTGAAAACTTGCGATGTATAATAATGTGCCTTGAACGAAAAAAGGTTGAGAACCACTAATCTAGACAAAAATATCTTCAGTTTAAAATGTCTCCAGTACAAAATATCTCTAACAGAAATATCTCCTGAATATATTTTAATATGTAAATATTATATTTTATGTTAATATTAATGTTTTTATAACAATAATAATTTAAAGTTGGTAAAAAATAATATTTGAAAGTATGTTATTGTTATTTTAATAATATGTATAATAATATGTCACAATAATAATATAATAGTGTTTGCCTTAAATATATAGAAAAATAATAAAAAAATGTATTTAAAATTGAAGATTGTGGGCAATTCTCCTTAAATATTTCAGAGATGTCATTTTGTTGTATTGACTTACTACTTTAAACAATCGTTCATCGTAATCGTTGTACTTCTTTCTTGTACTCAGTACAACTACAAATGAATTTGTTCACACCTTCTTTTTAAAATGTATGAAGGTATCCATTATGTAATAATAAATTATTTCCTTTTTGACTTACAAACAATTGTAGAGGCATTTTAAAATCTAAATTTGTTGTGTAAATTTTGGTATAAGTGGAACTAGCTTAGAACTTAGTCAACTATAGCTGTGTGTCTATACTGACACACTGTTGTATCGATACAGTTGTTACGTCGAAAAAGTCGTTTATCATGGTTTGTAGTTGCACTTGTAATTGTGAAAAATATATCAGATAGGTAATACAAATTAGTCAGTACAATAATAATATTATATTATTGCCTATGGGATTATTTTCTAAATATTATTATTAGAAAATTTTAGTAATATCTTTTTTACCTACTTTTAATTATTATTATTATCATAAAAATATTAATATTAATATAAAATATAATACCTAACATATTAAAATATTTTTGGGATATATTTCTATGAGAAATATTTTTACTGGAGATTTTTTGACCTGGAACCAAATATTCTTGTTTATTACTCAAAATTATATTTATGATTTAAACATTTTTTTTAAAATCTAGTTTAATTTATTCAACAAATCAATAACCAAAAAATATGAATAATTTTATAATATAAGTCCATAATTATTAATTTTTGTTTTTTTACATAGATATTGTAAACTTGGATTTGAAGTCAACATTGAGAGTGCTTTATAATCTTTTTACAAAGTATAAAAATGTATACTAATCAAAACCAGATCTTATATTTGTGAATTGTTAATTTTAATGAAATATAACATATATTTAAGTGACACCATTGTTAATTGAACACAAGAGATATGCACTAATATATGAAAAAAAGTAACTGTGCACTCATACAATAATTAAGTGATTTACAATTAATAGCTTGACAATCAAGATTATAAATATATTTTGATATTATTTATGTTTACATATTTTACTATAAGTATTATATTTTATATGCAATTGTTATATTTTAATAATAAGACAACTAACTAACTAATTTTATCTATTTAGTAGTATTGTTTTAATATTTTATTGTAGGTATTATAACATTTTATATTTTATGTTTATTTTATTATTTCAGTCACAAACCAATATAAATTTAATTGTTGGTTATATTAGCATAAACCTAATGAGTAATTACTAATACTTGTTAAAGTCAAGAGCCTTTAGATTTCAAATTACTTTATAAACTTGAATGAGCTTTTCATACTGTTTATTTTTGGTAAATAACTAATTTTAAAAATAAAATAGTTAATCTTTATGATTTTAAATACTTGAATTCAATATTTATTACTAAATTAACAAAATGTGAGATGTAACAATAAAAAATTTCCATTTTAGATCAAAGATTCAATATTTTTGAAGTTTGTATTTTATAATATATCTATAATGTGGTTTCCATCAGAACTGTGAAAGTAGGCCAAAATTATATGGTAACTCTTATGAAATAGACCAACCAAAATTTAAATTCAGGGTGGTTGTAGCTAGAGGGGGGGGGCTTTAGGACTTAGACCCCCCGGAATATTAAACTCACTATACTCGGTAAGATTCTAGCCCTAGCAATAAAATATTGCAGCCCACACCGAAAAAAAAGCCACCCCCAAAAAAAATCCTGGCTGAGGTACTGGGATAATTTATAATTCAGTATCAACAAAATTAATTTAATTAATTAATATTTTAATATTTTCATGGAGATATATTTTAATAAATACATAAAATATCTTATAAAGAAAAATAGTAAAGAGCGCACTCTGGTTGTACGCCTCAACTGGCTGAGGTAGCGATTACTAAGCGCTGCACGGCTCCTAAAATCAATCAAAAATGTATTATTATATTCTTAATTGTTCTTATAAACTGTACTAGATAAATAACATTATGATCTACAGGGAAGTGTCTATACAAAATTTTTTACCTGTAGGTATTCGATTCATTTTTTAATATAATATAAATTATCATGTACATTGTATATATTATTCAAATATTTTGTATTGTTTCAGTTACTTTTCAGAGAACTTAAACTATGTTTAATATTATTAATGCATAATATTATGCAGTAATTAGTTATTTATTTTATGCAAACTATTGCAAAATAATTTATGAGTAATAAACAAGTAGATAAAAAAAAAATTAAATTATTAATTCTAAATTAATTTTTGTTGACTTCATCATCCCTATAGCATGAATATTATTGCATAATAATGACTTGATACCTTTTGCACTTAAGGGTATCAAGTTGTAAAATATGATGCTATTGGTATCAAGTCAACAAAAATAACTTAAAAATAGTTGTACATTTTTTTTTATATAATCTTACAGACTACCGTACTAACAAAGTTACAAATAAAATTAATGGTTTTAAAATTTTTTTTTAAATGTAGTCTGAAATGCTTTTTTGGTCGTCTACTGAAAAATTTCTTTTTTTGACTAAATTGACTTGATCCCCTCTTCATAAATCTGTCCATTTGCTTTTACTGTTTTCAAGTGACATTATTTTTTCATTACGAATTTCACAAAGTCTTTTCAGACATTTATTCTCTGATTTAAGTTTCAACATGTAATCAACCAATCCCTCCATTTGCTGTTAAAAGAAAAAAAAATAGTTTTTAATTTTTACGCTGGGTTGTTATATTGAGTAGTTCTGAATAATTGTTAGAATATCACCTGCACTCTATTGTTGGATTTAATTAAACGTGTATCACAGCATCTTTTGGGGGCTACATTTTCTATTTCATTTAATTTCAACGGCTATAATAAAGTAATGACAATTAACATAGTGGTTAATATAAAAATGTATAATTCAGTGACTGCCTAAGTACTCTGTACATAAGATAATTTTTTAAGAGAAACAACTACTAGATATTGATTAAGAAAACAATTTTAGTCAAACTGTATGAGCATTAAAAAAATATGCAACAAAGAGCATTTCTGAAATGAAAATCAAATTAGCAATACAGGTGCAATTCATTTCATAAAATTCCTGAAACTATGTATTGGAATGAATAAATGATCCTATATTATTTTAATTTATATAATAGTACACCAAGAGTTAAGACCTAGACTAACTAATTTAGTATACTACACTTAAAGGTATCACTTCATTTGTAGTTTCTGAGTAAAGCCATGAATGCATTAGTTTTACATGTATATGATCTAAGGATTTTACAATGATGTGTGTTTTTTTGCACATTACCATTTGGAGCAAAATTCGAACCAAATGTTAATATTAGCATTTTTAAGGTATATAATAGATACATGGATATGATTAAAAAAAACATTTTGAATATTTTTGAATTATTAAAAGTATGTCAACGAATTGTTTACTATGTTTTTAAGAAATCTGAGCAAAATCAACCATTATAAAAATTATAGAAAATAATATTTTTTCATCGATTTGTCTAAATATTGTTTCAAAATAATTAATAAAACATTTATATTTGTAAAATTTTATTTTTATTTTGAAAGTGAATACGTAATCAAATAATAAAATATTTAATCGATTCGTCAAACCCTCAAAAATATTATCCTCTATAATTTTTAAGGTAACTCAATTATCATAAAAGCGAGGTATATTATACTAAAATATTCTTAGAGATATCACAAATTAAATGAAAATAATTTTCATCTAGTGAGACAGCTGACAGGCTGCCTCCACTTAATTGTTTTTCGTAAGTATTCTGTTATGAACTATATTTGAATTCAAATTTAATACATTCGTTACAGCTACCTAATCAATGACGACTGATGAGATAGCACACTCGACTAGTCGACTCTTGCTTTACTGCAAAGTGGTTTGATACCTACTTCCATTTTATTTTAAGCATACATATGCAGTGCTTGATTTTTTTAAAAATATTTTAGTGTTGCCCTTCTTTTATATCCTAATCAACCAGAAATATAAATATTCGAGTACACATATTTTTAATATTTTTGAATCCCCTACCTTTTTTTCTCCAATTCAATCACTGTATGTGCAGTATACACCACTATAATGTTGCATAATATATATGTATTATATTTTATAACAATAAGAAAATCTTGAAAGAAGTTAAATAATAATTAGTGAATATGGATTACTGATTATGTAGGTACATACTTGAATGTTAGTGACGGTGGTTATCCGTTCAATAGTGTTAAGAGATTCTTTTAGTTGTAAACTTGCTATTTTTTCGGCTATCTTTAAATGCGAACTTTTCAGTTTTAAACTTTCCTTTAAATCTTGAATTTCATTTCTCAAATTAACTTCTATGCCTGAGAATTAAAATTTGATACAAATTTATAACAATACGTATACACTGATATACCTACCTAATATTATATTTTTAGACATACCTGCCATATGTGAAATTTCCGAATTGTATTTCTCTTTAATATTTTCCATCTCTTTTTGATGTTGAAATAGGATAAGTTCTTTTTCATTGGTTAATTTGTCTGCTTTGTGTTCAATATCTTTAAGATGTTGGTATTTGGCTATCCAGTAGTTTCTTTTCTTGGACTGTTGTTGGACGATGTTTTGCATGTTGTACAACACTTTCTCGTAACCGACTATAATATTTTGCCAAGTACATATATTTTCTAGTAATATGTCCATTTGCTGTTCTAATTTACTGTTAATGTGAAATTGATCACCAGATATCAACGAAGACGACCGCGACGTCATTGCAGTGTGCTGCTGCTGCTGTTTACGTTGGGCTTTTAACATGTCCTGTATAGTTCTATTTTTCTCATTCAACGCATACTCTAATGTAATCACCTCGTGCTTTAAATTTCCGATATAGTCTTCTTCTGACTTAATGTGATGTTTCAAATCGTTACACTCATTTCGTAACGATGCTATGTCGATTTCTTTTTCGTGGACACATTTCGTAAATTCATCTATCATTACTTGCGTGTGGGTTTCGTTTCTTTGACATTTTTCTTTTTCTTTGTTGTACTTTGCAATCGCGAGTTCAAATTTATTCGTCTGTTCTGTTAGATTCAATTGAAGGGTTTTAATTAGGTTGTCGCCATCAACACATTTCATTTTTTTCTCAGTCAATAGTTGTCGGTGGTCGTCGAGCAACGTTATTAGGTGTGCGTGTTTCTTATTTAGCTCATCGTACATTAATTGTACTTTCGAATAATCTTCTTTGAGTTCCTTATTTTCATTTATTTTGCTAATTAACATTCTTTGGACCCGTTTTTTATCTTCAAATTCTGAATTTAGTTTCTCGTTCTCGTTTTCCAAATGGTTCTGCCATTTTTTGTGATCGTTGATTTCTTTTATTAGTTGTTGATTGTTGTCTTCAATATTTCTAATTGAACGTCTATTAATTGTTTTTAAATGTTCTTCTTTATTGGCTGTCAATCTCGCAAGCATATTGATTAAGTCACACAGTTGGTAGTTTTCGAATTCGAAGTCAGTAGACCCTTGGATTTGATTGATTTGTTCAGCGATTAACATTTTGCCTTCGTACAATTCGTTATTTGAACATTCAAATGCGCCATTGACGTTTTGATCGATACATTTTTCAGGAAAGTCTGCCAAATTGTCATGCAATAGTTGTAATTGTATATTTTTTTCTTCGTTAATCGAACGTAAATCGTCATTCAACTGCGATATTTTGAGATCTTTAATATACAGTTCTTCTTTAAACTTCTCTACGCTTTGTAGAATTTCATCATAATTATTTAACGTTATCTCTCGTATGTCCATCAATTGTTTATTTATAACGTATTTCAACTTATCGTTTTCCTTTAGAATATAATGATATTCATTTTCACGTGCAGCTAGCGCAGCGCAAAAATTAGTCAAATGCATAACATTTTCATTTTCATTGAATCTACGACCTAACGCTAAACAAAGATTAATTTTAATTTTATTTATTTCAGATTTAAGCCCATTGCAATCTTTAACTACTTGATCATAATTTTCATATTTATTCTGTAAAATACTGTTCCTGGTTCTTAATAGTTTATTATTTTTTTCAGATTCACTCATAGCAATATATGCTAATCCTATCATTTTGTCCAAATCAATAGCGTCCTTATCGCTCATAACGTATTTAGCGTCTACAATTTTTGTCATAAGCTTTTCTTTGAACATTTTAACAATATCTTCGAAAGGAACATTAAATTTGTGCCAAACTATTGTTTCAGAGTTTAAATTATCAAATGAATTAAGATTAGTAGTCATATAGTCCATGACCACAATCTTGTTTTCTGCTATATCTGATGATGGTTTGTAATTAAACGTCATTACCTATTTATCAAATTTTTAAAAATAAAAGTGTTATAGGTATGTTATGTGTTATTTTATCTAATATTATGCACATACATATATATTTTTTATTCAATGACCTAATAAATATATCAGTAGGTGGATTTATTTAAAATTAATTTAATTAAAACTTTTATTAGCAATCGAGTTAATTAAACTGACAATTTTTTTTTTTTGAAATACTAACCTCGTATTTTTTGTTTTCATCATTATTTGTCGTTTGTTGGAGATTATCAGACATTTTATTGCTAAAAAATAAAAAAAATATTATTCTATTTAAAATAATCCATGTAATATGTATATATGTATATATGTATATATAAATATATTCATAGATATATAATTGATATTATGATTGAAAAACGATTATTATTATAAATATTTTATAAAATTTCATCGACTTTGTGTAAATTACATTAGGTATATATAGAAACAAATTATCGTAATATTAATACGTCGATAAAAATCTTTTAGTGATTACTTAGACATTAGTACTGATAAATTTGCATACCTAATCAAATAATAATTTATTTTTAAACGTTTGAAGCCATTATAGTAGAATTGGTTATAGTCGTTAGGAAATTGTCGTATGACGTATAGTATTCTTATACAGTATGAATAAATGCATAAAATTATGTAAAATTCTAATTTCGCTTACCTTTTATTTCAACGTAGGTACATTCGAGTTAGCTACGAAGTACACTGGTTCAGGTGTTTAAGAATTTTTTAATTTATTCGTCGCGAAAGGATGAGAGAATACAAGTTTAATTGTTATAGCCATAGACTGAATTAATATAATATTAACTATCGGGAATTTTTTTTTTATTTCGATTACCGACATAGATTCAACGCAGGCGAGGGAAAATTCTGAGGCATTACCCGTTGACCCATGGCGGAAGTCGTCGTCGGTCATAATATTTTCCTCCATGATTCGTAAAAGTTTAGTATTACTCCAAATAGCTATGCAAACTACGACGGCCGTAGAATGATCAGCATATTACTATTACCACTAATTACAACGTTACTCGTAAGTAGTTAATATTGGAACTAAAAATTAAAAAATATTTATAGGCACATTTTTTTTTCATAAATAATCAAAGTTCAAATTTCGATTTAACTATAGAGCATAGTTATTCTAACAGAAACAACGATTTTATTTATTTTGTTGTGATTTCAAAGTATCATTCATGAGTAATTGAAACTTTTAAAGGGAATTAGTATATTTTATAGGTATACTTATCGTATACACACAATAACATTTTCAAATGCTATGTTTTCGGAAATAGTTAATATTATCTACTGCAGAATTACTAATAATGGTAAAACAATTACAGCAATAATATTATAAAATATAAGTAGGCAGTTAGTGATATAGGCTGACAGTCCGTCTTTGCTCAGAATCATTTTTCATAATACCTTCCCAGTAAACATTTATACGGATATACAACGTATAATATACAATATACGTACACTTTAAACTAAACCTACGTAAATTATAAGTTCAGAAATTATTAGACATTCTTGTTCCTAAAAAAATAGAAAATTTTTATCCGATTTATAATAACCTAAATACCTAATGCAAGTGATTCATTTATAAGTATATATACACTCATTAGTCATTGTTTCGAAAAGTTTCAACTTTTTTTCACATAATTTGATTCAGAACAATATTTCAGAAAAAATTTATTTTTCTATTTTTACTGTCATTATTGTTTAAGTTTTTCACTTTTTAAATGACACCAAATATTTTTTTATTTCTTACTCCAAAGCAGAATATTATTTGGAGTATTAAGATCTATAAAGATTAAATTCCGGACAAGTATTTCGTTACCTATTTTTAAAGCTGTTAAAGTATTGATGTGCGTAGTAGACATGGGTAGACCGTAAAATGTGTCCACTACTTCGCTAATCTAAACTTTAAATACTTATAAAGTAATGGTTCATGAACTACTTCTCCAGAATTTATTTTGTATGCATTGAAAAAATTGTAAGAAATATTATACAGGAATGTTGTTTTGAAATGACGCAAAAAAGAATATTTTCAAAAAAGTTATAACTTTACGAAATAATGAGTGTACACACTCGAATGTATCATCATACATATATATATATATAAATATATTTATATAAATACAGTAAACGATTTTGATTATTCGCGGAACAGTGTGGTACGGCAACTACTGATAAGCGAATTCCGTGGGTAATCTATAAAATACAAATTAAAAGAAAATCCTATTATTTTATTTAAAAAACATTTTTATTATGTAGTGTATAATATAGTATTTAAAGAAAATTAGATAAGCAAACATTTTATTTTTATTTAACATTCATAAATATATTATTGTATAATATTAAAATATTTTCCGATATTCTACGCGCCCGGGCGCGCCCCCTGTACATGTATTACTGCAATAGTGCAATGTACTACTGATGATCGACCTGCAGTAAATATAGAATAATACAATGGAAATAAGAAGAACTTATGATTACATACTGAATAATATGGTCTATGCCCTATGGACCTAAGTCATATTACAAGGTCAATGGATTTATCATATTTTAAATCTATCATCTATATATAGCTGCGAACACCGAAAGGTAAATAATATTACTCATTACATATTTTGTAGAAGAATTTGTTGTACTGTAAAACGCTGAAAAATAACAGACACTTTGAAATTAATATGTAACAAAAAGTTCAATTTTAAAACTATTATTTCACATATTTGCATATTTTGAAATATTATGCCTATTTGGGTCATTTGTTTGTTTCTTTTTTTTTTTGTATTTTGGTATTTTTTGAAAATGTTATTAATAAATAATAATTAAAATTTTTAAATTAACACTGATTATTTTATTTTAGTTTATACTTTATATTGTAAGAGTAAAATGTAACTCTTAACAAAAAGTTTGAGTAATTTGTCTATATTGGTCTGCGCAAGAGTCTTATGAGTTATGACTATAATATTGAAATATGATTATGATTATTGTACATTGTACATTCATATTAATTCCATATCGTGATCAATCGAATTTTTAGATTCTGAGAAGTGCGATGAATATATTGATTTTGAATTTCAAATTTTGACAAAATACGTAAAAATCAGGAAAATTTGCAAATTATTAGGAATTTATAAAATTTTTTTTGTTTAAATTTAAGAGTTGAAAATTCATTACGAGATTCGTTGTAGGTTTTTTTATCTTTATCAAAAAAAAAAAAAAAAATGTCCGATGGAAAGTCAAATTCAATTTTTATGAGCGTTGAAAATGTTTACAACATAGGAATACAGGATATTCACTCGATTTCTCATGTAGCGATTTTCTTCTTCGATGTAATTCAAGAACGAATAACTAGATATTTAAAAATTTACACCAAATGTTTATTTTATTATTTTCTATACCTAATTCATGAAATTTTCAAAATATTTTGAGTGATGTCAATAAAATTGTATTTGTTAGGTAAAAAAAGATTGAAAATTTAATACAAAGGTTTCTTATTTGTTATTGTTACAATAGCAATTGAAAAATATTAAATATACATAGGTAGGGACGATTTTTTTTATAGGCATTTAACGTTCAAATTTTAATAAAATGTATCAAATTGAAAATTTGAAACCTAACCTGTGTAGTGTTTCTAGGTATTTTGTTGTAATTTAAAAAATATTATTCGTGGGTACTTGAAACTTTTAGAGTAGGTATGCATATTATTATATACCAATATTATAATAATTTGCAAATAATATTAATTCAACATATCGGTTACAGTAGTAATAATAACAATATAAATATAGTATAAAAATCCTAGGCAAACCGTCTTGCTCAGAATCGTTTTTCTTATACAATGATATTATAATATTATATCATTGAATTCAAATTTAAGTATTTAACCCTATCCATTACGGTGACCCACTGGTAACCTATTGTGCAGCAGAGCGTCACCCACTTACCCGCTTTTATAATATGTTGTTATTTATGTTCGTTAATTTAAAGTGATTTTTTAATGTAATATCTTAAAAAACCATATATTTCAACACTATTTACCTATTAATATGGTTTTAATATTTTTATTAGACAAACTTGTCTTAAAAAACCATTTCAAGATACACTTCATAAAAAGAATATATTCCAAGAATCGCGAGAATAATCACTTGAATATAGTATTGACCCCTAATACTATAATAATACTGTAATGGATTTGAAACTTCAGGTGTCAACCACTCAATTCAACGTGTAATGAAATTATCCCGGAAATTCTAGGAATAACATTTAGGTAATGTAAATATAATAAAGCGTTTAATGTTTAATGGAATGTCATTGATGTTTTCTTTTGGAATTATTTGTTCATGGCAAGAATGAATTATTTCGTGTTAATGTTTTCCTACTTAATGTATTTTAATTTGAAATTTCTTGATTAAATAAAAAATAATGTTATCAGGTTCCGTTAAAGTTAAGGTGAATAAGTTTGTCAGTTGTAGTTCAGTTGGTTTCTTTTCTTGGCGTTGAAATTGATGTCGTGTCAGAAAAGTTGCAGAAAGTATAGAGTGTAATTAAGAACGTGTGTTTCAAGTGTAAGCTATACTTAGGATAGCGTGATAGTCGAGAGATCACAATACGTCTGGGAATTTTTCTAACGGGTACCTATTATCTCATCAAGCCAGCAGCTCTTAAGGGGTTTTCACAAATCACAATAAATTTATTTCGACTACCCATACGTTACACGTTTATTTAAGTAGGTATCGTGATACTATATATAGTTCATTTGCCCAAACTTCCAAAATGGTGACTATAATAGTGACTTATTGGTTGAACTTGCAGGAAGATTTTAAAGATTATGAATTTATTTACTCATGACCAGGGCTAGGATTTGTATGCAATAAAAAATTGTAAGGTATGCATTTTATTTACCAAAATATGCAAAAATATACATTTTAATTTTTATAAGATAAACACAAAAATATAGTTACAAAAAAAATATTTATTTATTGAAATACATCAGTGGTTGGCTATTTGTCTTAATATGAGTATATTATAATTGAGAAATAAAATTTATAATTCACATTCACTACGTGTGTTACATGCTATGACCACATATTATTTTAAATTGTCGAAAATGAATGATCTTTCTCCGTTAAACTATTCAATCTTTAATCGCATACCTATTGTACCATAGGATTGTATTTATAAAAATAAAATTTGTGTTTGACAAAAAAACCAAGTTTTATACCTTAATCAGTAGAG